TGTAAGCATCAAGGTTAAACGCCTGGCCCGCCCTTTCGGCCGACCTCGGGGTGCATCAGGGACGAGGTGCTCCCTATTGGAAAAACAAATGAGGCAGGAGGAGGACGAGGAGGAGTAGGAGGAGGAGGAGGGGGAGGAGGAGGACGAGGAGGGGGAGGAGCAGGAGGCGCGAAGAGGAGCGAAGAGGCGGATGAGGATGAGGATGAGGAGGACGAGGACCAGTGTAAACCCAAGAGTCATCAACGATGTTGGAATGAACCCACCCTCCAAACTCCCTCTTCATGGACCCCTACAATGGTTCTTTTCCATTGAGAGAACTGCCTCGTTGGAAGACAACCGTTTGAAGATCCTGAAACATGCCAAAACATGGTTCTCAGAAATTCAACGCCACGTATCAACCTTACTGATGCGCTCTGATGATCCGGAATCGTGCCGCAACGCATTTGTTTGATTTCAACACCGCGCATCAACATAACCCTTGCGCCCGCATAGTCCTGAATCCTTCCAAAACACCAATTCTGGTACGCTGATCATGGGAATCCGTGAAATTCTTGCACTTGTTTAAAGCGAATGCGCGCGGCGCTAAGGCGAGAACCACATTTCGAACAACAGCCGCCCTCAATCCGTGAACCTCCTCTTGAACATTTCTAAAGCAAATGTGCGCGGCGCTAAAGCGATAACCACGATTTGAAGACGGCCCGCTCTCAATCCGTACAACTCTTGTCACTTGTGAAAACGAATATGCGCGGCGCTGAGGCGAGAGCCGCGTTTTGAAAACCACCCGCCCTCATACTGTGAAGCTCTTGCACATGGTCCAAACGAATCCGAGGGGCGCGAATGCGAGAACCACATTATATTATATATATATATATATATATATATATATATATATATATATTTAAAACAAAAAAAAACGCCCTCAGCCCGTGAAGCTCTTGCAAATGTTGGAGAGAGCGTGATCCACCGCCGCTTTACTGTGGAAAAATTGCCAACCTTTTCCTCCGGACCCTGGGGGTCGCCCCCCCCCCCTCCGAAAATCCCCCCCCCCGCCTGCTGACCCCCCCCCCCCCCTCCTCCCCCGGCAAAACCCCCCCCTCCCCTAACCCCTCCCCCCCCCCCTTTCCCTCGAAAACCGGGGGGGTCACTACCGCTTCGAACCCCTCCCCCCCCCCCCCCCTCCGGATCCGGAAAACCGGGGGGGGGTTCGAACCCCCCCCCCCATCGAAAACCGGAGGGGGATCACTACCGGCTCGAACCCCTCCCCACCCCCCCCCACTCACCGCCAGCAAACGACTCCCGGTCCCTACCACCGTCCGCATCACATCCCCCACTGTTGTTCCCAGCACCACTGTCCTCACCACCACTGTCCCCACTGTGTCCCCACCAGTGCCCCCACCACTGTCGCACTGTCCCCACTGTCCCCACCACTGTTCCCACCACGGTTCCACTCTCCCCACTGTCTCCACGGCCCCAACCACTGCCCGACTATCCCCACTGTCCCCACTGTCCCACTGACTCCGCCGCTGTCCCACTGAGCTGTCCCACTGTTCCCACCACTGTCCCCACTGTCCCCACCACTGTCCCCACTGTACCTCTGTCCCATTGTCCCACCGCCGTCCTCGCCACCGCCTTCACCACTGTCCCCACCACCATTGTACCCTCCGCTGTCCCACTGTTTCCACCTCATTCCCACTGTGCCCACACCACTGTCCCCACCACCACCGTCCCCACCACTGTCCACTGTCCCCCCTGTTCCCACCATTGTCCCCACCACTGTCCCCACCACTACCGGCCCTCTACTGTCCCACTGTCCCACTGTCCCCACCACTGTCCCGCTGTCCCCTCACCACTGTCCCCACCAACACCGTCCCCACCACTGTCCGCACCCCCACTCGGTTTTCGAGGGGGGGGGGGGGGTTCGAACCGGTAGTGACCCCCCCCCCTTTTCATGATGAGCTGGGGGGGGGGGGGAGGGGTTCGAACCGGTAGTGACCCCCCCCGGTTTTCCGGAGGGGGGGGGGGAGGGGTTCGAACCGGTAGTGACCCCCCCCGGTTTTCCGCCAGCAGCGGTAGAACACGCTCTTTCAAATGTTGAAGACGAATGTGCTCGGAGCTAAGGCGAGAGCCACATTTTGAAAACCACCCGCCCTCAATCCGTGAAATTGTCGACACTTCTTAAGCTTCAGAATCATACATGGTGACGGAGTCTCACGCGAAACGCTCGGCCCGCCCTAAAAACTGGCCGGGATTTGGGGCATGTTCGGCTTCCGGAGGCCCACGCAGGGCCGCAGGGCCTCGGGACCGTCAAAAAACGGCTCGGGGCAAGGAAAGCCGCACTGGGAACTCTGAGATCCGACATTGCGGAAAATTGCAGCATCGCCGCAAAACACGACGGGACCCCCCGACCCCATCTTCCTGCGTCATTTCTCGAGCCGGATCGATCTGCGAGGGTCCCAGGGCCCGAAATGGAGCGGAAACGCCGGGCTCGAAAACGTTGGATCGCCAGGATCTCAGGACCGGGGAAGTGGTCCAGACCCCAGGGGCCCACGCATCGAAAAAACTGGAACGGCCGGATGTCCAGCGAGGCGGGGACGCCGCCGCGCTGGACATCCGCCGGCGCGGACGCCGCCGCGGCGGAGCGCCGTGTGCGGCAAGGCTGTTGTCCTCCAGACAGCACGGGCCTCCTGCCTGCCCACAGCTCCTCTCCCGGAGATCCTGGCGACGAACCTGCTTCGAGCCGGACGTTTTCGCTGAACATCGGGCCCCTGGACCCTCGCAGGTCGACGAGCACCACGGAGCACAGCAACCAAGCATAGCGGCAGCAGGCGATGAGAACACGGACGAAACGAACGGCGGACGCAACGAAAGATGACGAAACGAAAGAGGACGGAACGAAAGAGTGCGAAACAGACGGCGGACAACAAAAACGGAGGACGAAACGAAAGACAACTGAACGAAAGAGGACGAAACGAAGGATGACGTAACGAACGAGGACGAAAATAGCGAAAACGAAATGAAAACTGTCGGGGATATTCTGTACCGGGTCAATCCGAAACAGAGGCAGTCAGGCCTTGCAGGCTCCTGCAGGGTCCTGCTGGATCCTGCACCCAAGGCTAGGTCAATGCGACCCTGGCCCTGCAGAATCCTGAAAGATCCGGCGTTCTGACTGACCCCTGTTTGCATTGACCCCGCCCCTTGAGCCCCGAAACTGACGAAATGAACGTCCACTGGCGGGGGCACCCCGGGGCGGCTCCACAGCCCCCAAAGAACCCCAAGACCCAAGACGGCCCAATAAGCGCCGAAATAATCCAAGGGAGCGTCGAGTCGGCCCAGGGTAACCCAGCGACAGTCCAAGATGGCTTCAACACGGCCTACGAGGTCCCCAAGACGGCCCAAGAATTCTCCCAGAGGGCCGTCGAGAGGGCCCCAACAGCCAAATATTGCAGCATGCTTGCAAGAAAACGTACATTTTGGCATCACGCCTTTTCCGTCTTGGCAACATCCAATACGGCCCGAGGAGCCCCCAAGATCGTCCCAACAAGACCCATGAGGCCCATGAGGCCCCCAAGAGGGCCCCAAGACGACGCAATAGAGCCTCAAGAGGGCCCCAAGACTGCCCCAGGGACCCCGAAGACGGCGCAGAAGGGCCCAGAGGGGGGGCCCAAGAGGGGCAATGCGAACAAACATCTCGAGTCTTCTCCGCCGTGATGGTCACAGGAGCCCCCCCGTGACCCCCGAGGCGCGATCAAGAGGCCCCGAGACGCACCCAAGAGGCCTCCACGAGGCCCCCGAGAGGCCCCCCAGAAGCCACTCACATCCTCGCAAGAGCCCTCCAAGAGGCCCCAGGCATCCCATGAGACTCTCCTATGCATCGCCGAGGCTCCCGACCCATAGACCAGGACGTCCCGAGATCTTGTCAAGGCGGGGACACAGATGAACGAACGGCTGCGCGTCCTTGCGCTCAGCTGTGAGGCACCGTCAACCACAGAGAGAAAAATGAGACAGAGCATGTGTGTGCACGCATGCTCGAGAGGGTTCGGGGGGGCGGGGGACCAGAGAAGCTATGCGATGCAAGAAGGAGCGGAGCCAAAGGGGCGACATAATGAAAACCCCTCTTGACTTCCTTCACGTGCAAGCACAAACCAGGACGTCCCGAGATCTTTTCAAGGCGGGGACACAGATGAACGAACGGCTGCGCGTCCTTGCGCTCAGCTGTGAGGCACCGTCAACCCAAGCCGTTCCCAATAATGTTGACTGGGTGGGTGGGCAAGGGTGATTATATAACGACGCGCGCCATTCACTCAAAAGGACTTTAGCGAGTTTCCTATTGAGGGCTGGCGGATAGGCGGCAGCGATAGCGGTCCATTTCGCACCATTCGGGGCGTTGCCCTCCAGCACGATGTGTGGACGGCCAGACTTGTTACAAATACCATTGATCTGACCACACCGACGATCGAGGCAGCAGCTATCCTGAACATCTATGTTTAGACACAAAAATCTTGTTCGTTTGCGCCAGCGAGCCCCCTCCTGACACTGATCGAGACATCTTACAACTGCCCCCCGTTCTATAACCCCCAGAACCTCTCTCGTGACAGAAACGCGTGAATTCACAGGATGCTCAAGTATGCAGGGGACTTTGAAATTCTCGCAACATCTGATGACGCTCAGCGCGGCCCGCATGGTCTTATTGCCCGATGCCAGGCGAGCCAGCTGTTTTGTACTCAGAAGATGCCGCGGAAGTCCCCAGGGCTGCGATGCCGAGCGGATGGCTCCCACTCGGTCGGCAGCGGTGGTCCAGGGCCCACAAGGCGGCGCCAGCATCGCGGCCAAGACGCGGCCTGCGGCGATGTCGGAGCACAAGCCCCGCAGGACCTTCCGTCGGGTGAGGTCGCCGCCCGGCCCGTGCAGCGTGTCCCAGAACCTGGCTGGCACGCCCATGGCCATTGCGGACCGACCCACGCCTCCTTTGCCACTGAAGCAGTCGGCCACATATTGGCCAGTCAGACGCGGCCGAGCTCCCGCAAGTCGAGCGGCGAGGCGCGATCCGAAATGATGTCCGCGAGCTGAACCCCGCAGACCAGGAACACGTTTTGCACCGTGCGGCTCCGAGTTGACCACGTCGCTGCCAGGCGCGCGTGCTTCTCGTAGCGGACGACGCTGCGCTTGGCTCTCCACTGCCAGCGTGTCTGCACCTCGGCCAGCCGCCCCCACCTCCTCGCCATGCATACCAAGGCCCTTGAAAGGCAAACCTGATACGGCACCAACTCGGCTCTTGCTGGCAGGTCTTGGAGACGTAGGCTGAACCTCCCGCGGTACTCTGGGCACGTGAAGTTCCACGGGTACTCGGGGTGCTTCTCCTTCTTCATCTGACACAGCACAGGGCCCAAGAAGCGCATCCAGGGCGAGTCTGACTCTAGCGACACCTTCACCAGGCCCGCTTTCTCCCACGGGCCTTCCTCCTCCGGGGAGAGCCTCAGGGTCCAGAAACTCCAGCCCGGGGGGGGGCGCCAGGCACCGTAGCTCGACCGGTCGGGGTTGAAGTGCAGGACGCCGACCATCAGCCGCTCGGCCCAGGAGGGGTGAGTCCCAGTCTGGTGCAGTCCGGTCAGCTGGCTCACCAACGCCGAGGTCACCATGGCATCGTCCCTGCTCTCCATGACCTCGCCAATGGTCGCAGCCCTCTGGTACTCGCGCAGCGACGGGATCCACACGGCCTCCCTCTCCAGGTAAGCGGACCCCTTTCTGCCAGTGGTCATCCCGTAGTGGCGGGCAAGGCGCTCGTGCGACTGCGCGAGCCTGGGCTGCCGCGCGGCGTCGGTCTCGACCTCGGGCTCGGAGCTCCCGCTGTCGGAGGAGCCGTCGCTCTCTCGCGCTCCCTGAGCGGGCTCCACTGGCACGGGCATCTCCTTCAGGTCCTCCGCCATCTGCCCCAAGCTCCGCGGCAGGGGGCGGCCCTGCACCGCTGTCTTCAGGAGCTCCGACTCGCACAGCTGGTGCTCCCGCCGAGCTGCCGGCGACGGCAGCGGCGCCACTGGCGGCAAAGGGGCAAGCTGCCGCGGGCATCCCGCCTCCTGACCCTGGGCAGACGGCCCCAGGCCAGGCCTCAGGCGAGACGGCGCCAGCCGCCGTGTGCGCCGGCGCCCCGCCCCTGGCCTCGCGCCCTGTCTGGTCTGCAGGGGGCCGAGGCAGCGGCCGCGCCCGTCTGGCGCCCGCGGGCGCACAGGCAGCATCGCGGGCCGCGGCGCCACCGGCTACCCGCTCAGGTGCGGACCAGGCGGGAACCCGCTCTGAGACCGCCTGGGAGCCCTCGAGCTCCAACAGCTCAGCCAGAAGGGCGGACTTTGCGCCGTCAGGATCAAATAGCCGCGAGGGGAGGTCGGCGCAGTTGAGCTCACTGGGTATCCAACGAACCGAACAACGAATATTTCGGCTCAGACAGACAGCGTGAAATCGAAGAATCTGGACCAACAAGTTGAAACAGGAGCTCCTCCCTCGATTGAAGCTTAGCACGACCGACATATTGTCACAGAGCAGCAACTGACGTATGTGGGACCCAAACACAGTGGTGGCGATACGATGTATGCTGCTGACCAGGGCTCGGGCCTCTAAGGTCAGGATGCCCTCAGGGTGCTGCCAGGCTCTTGCGAAGCAGGGCTCCCGCAGACCTGCGCGGAGCCCCCGGGCGGGCACCTCCGGGAAGTCCCTCACAACGTCCCACTGGCCCAGCTCCTCCTCATCTTCAGGAAGGCCCTTGAGTTCCCATTTTCCACTCTCGCTCATGCTGAAACCAGCTGCACAGAGCGCAGCCTCGCGGGCACTGTGCGCGCAGCGTCGGCGGAAGCGGGCTCGCTCAGGCACGCGCCCGACTGACTCCACCAGCTCCCGCGGCCAAAAGGCCCTTGCCAGTCCGTAGCCGTGAAGACTGGCATCTGACTGCTGCACCAAGGGATTCCAAGGTAGCCACCAATCTGATTCCAGGAAGTACATCAAAGAGCTGAAGGCCGCCAGCTCCTGCCGCGCCTCAGTCCATAGCACGGCCGCCTCGTCGTAGTGGGCTCGCACGAAGCCGTAGACTGAATTGAAGGCTGACAAGGTGCCGCGCGAGCAGAGGCCACAAAAGGTTAGGTGGCCCAGCACTGCTTCCACGGCCCACCCCTTGACGCGGCGGCGGGCTAGGAGGCCTCGCACGGCCTGGCGGCAGCGCCAGAACCGATCACTAGTCACACGAGTGCGCAATTGGCCCCCGTCGATCTCCGTGCCCAGCGCTACTGCCTTGCCCGGCACCAGCTCGTCTTTGTGCAGCAGTAGGCTCAGCTTGGTGAACTCGCCTGTCAGCTGGTTCATCACGCCGCTCACGAGTTCCGAGAAAAGCGAGAAGACCCCCAAGTTATCAACATACACGTAGTGCCTGACTTCCTGGGACGCTCTGCCCGGCGCGAACACGAGCGGTGGCCCATGGTCTGAAAGACCTGGCCCCCGAAGGAGCGCGCTGCTGCGGCGGCTCACCTCCTCGTTGGCCCGCTGGGCGAAGTAGAGGGACCAGCTGAAGCCCATGGGCAGCACCTGCCAGCAAGGGTAGATGGCCGTCGACGTCTGCACCTTGGTCCCCTCGACCTCGGTCACGCCGAAAGCCCCAGCCTTGACCGGCGGCAGGCAGAAGTATTGCGAGAGGGCCGAATCAATACGCATCCTATGAAAGCAGTCCTTCACGTCCGCCATGCCGATGTACACCTGCTGCGCCTCCAGCGCGGCGCGGAGGTCCTCGTAGTCCGAGAAGCCCGCGTCTGGCACGTGCACCTCGATTCTGGCAAGGCCCTCGCTGCTCAAAAGCTCCACCCCAGGAGGGTCCTTGAAGTGGGCGTTCGTGCGGCGGGCGTCGACTTAAGTCGGCGCCGCCCATCCTTCCACACGAAAAACATCCCAATTCTCTCTTTCGGTGTTAGAGTCCATCCCAGAATGCCAGCCGACAGCAGCCGGCGCACCAGGCCGCGGTACTCCTTGTGGTTGAACTTGAGGACCGAGTCGAAGTATGGCTCGACGTCAGTCGGCAAGGGTGATTCTCGCAACATGCGCTCATGGCGCTCCTGCAGGAAAGTAAGGGCCTCGCCAGGCAAGAGGTCCTCTAGACGCGGGCAGTCGCTCACGTCCATCGGCATGCTGACGAGCCCTGCACTGTAGGAGGCGACCGTCGTCGGGCCACTGCGCCCGTCGTATGGCGAGCGGCCCCGCAGCAGCTCCCGGAGGGCCGCCTGCGGACCCTGCAACTTGGCGTCCGGCTGCCGGCCCCGAACGAGGCCCTCGAAGCGCGCAAGTACATCCCGCTGCATGTCGTTGGCTGGGCCAGGAAGCGAGTCGTACCCCGACATCCAGTTAACGGCATCGACGACACCGTTGACCTCCGCCGCAATCCGATTCTCACGGCCGAACTGCCTCGCCCTGCAAGACCTGCCGCGAATTCGGCGGCCAGCGTCGCCCAGCAGCGGGGGCGGCAGGAAGCTGCGGGCTCCACGCGAGGGCGGCAGGCGGCCGCCGTCGTGCCCCGGCAAAAAGGGCCCGGGGGAGGGGCTGGTCCCCCCGGGCCCGGGGGCCGTCATGGCCCCGCGGAGGCGACGCCCCTGGCCCGGCCGCGCCCGCGGCCGCCTCGGCCGCCACCACGCCCCGCACCTGCTGCGTCGCCTCCAGCTCCTTCTGCTCCGCCGACGGTCCTAGTAGGCACCCCGCGTAGCGTACCTGCCCGATTCTGCGCCTGATCCACCTCGTACGTCTTCTGCGCCCCCTGGTGGATGTAGCCCCGGAGCTCTGACCCCGAGACGTCCTTCTCCGAGCTCACGTCCGCGAAGATGTCCGCGTTCGTCCAGCTCGGCTTGAGCAGGTCTCCGTAGGCCTCCAGCGTGGCGGACCCGCGGTGAGTCATCTTCCCCACCATCATCAGGCCGCTCATGTTCAGCTGGACACGTAATAAGCCCTGGTACCAGGCCTCCACGATCGTCCTCAGCTTCTGCACCACCCAGTCATTCTCCCCACGGCCCCTCACGCACACGGCGAGGTCGGGCTCGAGCCGCAGGTCGCCTCCGTGCCTCACCATGTGCTCGCGCGTGTGGAGAGCCCCCGGCGGTCTGCCCACCCGTGCGTCTGGGCGGCGCCCCTGCCTCGACTCGCCTACCACGTCCCGCCATCGTCTGTCCCGTCCGCCCTGCTCGTCGTAGAAGACCCAGAGCGTGCGGGCGAGGGCGTCACGTTGCTCGCCCTGCGGCCCCGCCAGCAGCGGCTGCGCCAGCTCTGGCATAGCCGTGCCGCGTAAGGGCCCGGCGGGCTCCTCATCCTCGAGCGGCGCCGCGGCCGCAGTGCGTCGGCGCTCGGGGCCCTTGGCACGCGCCTGGCTCCTGCATAGGTCATGCCTGAAAGCCTCCTCCTCTGCCAGGCGCCCAGCGTCCGACCCCGCGTCCACCCGGCCGAGTCGCCCCGTGCCACCGTCGGCGGACCTCAGCACACCGAACGCCTCAGGCCCGTCCTCGAAGCTCAGGCCTCCAGTCTTCGCCACGTCGACCTCCGCCCCGATCACATCGTCGGGCACGCCACTGCGGCCGACCCAGGCGTCACCCCCAGCAGGAGCCTCCAGCGGCGTCCCCGCCAGGCGAACCACGGCCATGCTCAGGTACAGCAGGCCCCTCCGCTCCGCGGCCAGCCGCCTGCCAGCGTCCTCCTGCCACGAGACCCGCTGGCCGCTCGCGGCCCCGGCCTCCCTCGGCTCAGGCGGCGCCGCCTCTACCTCCAGCGCCGCCTGACGGCCCCGCGCCAGCGTCTTGGCCCGATTCTCAGGCCCCAGCGCCTCCTCGAAGCGATACAGCCTCCGCATCCTGCCCATCCGCTGCGCCAGCGGGATGGGTCGGGCAGGCCAGGTCTCGGCCCTGCCGCAGCTCATGTCCTCCACGTAGATGTCAACCTCTGGGGACAGGATGACCCGTCCGCCCTCTGCCACGTAGTGCAGCAGCACCCATACGTCATCGACGTCGTCGCCGGCGAATCGGCAGACCCCAGGCTCCACTGGGAGCGCTCTAGTCCACCACCTCCGCCCCACGACGCTGAGGAGCCACCACACGAGCGTCGTCATGCCTGCGACCGGGAACTCCCACCAGCCAGTGCACCAGGCCTCCGGGCAGCGCCCCAGCGAGCCTCCTAGCCGCCCTCTCGCCCGGCGTCGCCGCCGGCCGCCTCGCAGGCCGGGCGGGTCGCACCCGGCGGCGGCTCGCAGGCCGGGCAAGCCGCGCGGGGAGGCGGCTCGCAAGCCGGGCAGGCCGCGGCCTCTGGGCCAGCCGCCGCCTCTGGACACGCAGGACAGGCCGGGCACGAGGGTCAGGGCAGGCCGCCCGCGTCGGGCCCTCCTCTGCCCCAACGTAGGCCGCGGCCTCCAGCGCCACTACCACCCAGGCCAGCGGCGCGGCCGCCCCTCAGGGATGGCGCCCATCCATTGACTCTGGACCAGAGAAGCTATGCGATGCAAGAAGGAGCGGAGCCAAAGGGGCGACATAATGAAAACCCCTCTTGACTTCCTTCACGTGCAAGCACAAACCAGGAACGGTGGCATGCCTCTTGCCGAACTCACTGTCGTGGGGGTCGGCGGAGTGGCGTATCACCTCTCGAGGACGGCAAGGGGACGGAGGCGGAGCGAGGAGGGCGGATAAGAGGAGGACGAGGAGGAGCAGGAAGCACCGGGAGCAGGAGGAGCAGGGCGGCAGCGGGAGCGGGAGCGGGAGGCGCAGGGCGGCGCCGGGGCGGGCAGCGCGGAGGAGCGCTCTCGCGGGACGCGCTCCTCGCGGGATGCGCCGCGCCGCGGCCCCGCTGCAGAGCCCGCCCTTAACGCGGCCTGCAGCCGGAGCCCGCGGCGCGCTCGCGGCCCGCATGCGCGCGCGGGCACGGCGTGCGGGGAGCCCCCGCCGACGGCCGCGGCGCCCGCCCGCCGGCACAGGACGAGCACGGGCGCCCTACTCTGCTGGAGGAGGAGGCGCAGGACTCTCGGGTCGGGCGAAAGGGGGGGATAGCAAAGGGGGATGGTTGAGAATCAGCTCACGTAGCTGATTTTCCCGGCGCCTCCCGGCGCCGGAGGCGGCCATGTATCGAGGAATGGGCCCCTCGGTGGGGCCGAAACCAGCTGCATGCAGCAAATTTCGTAACCCCCCCTTTCCCAATCGCCCCCTTTCGTCCGGCCCGAGACTCGGGCTCGGGGGACTCGTGCTGACCTGCCAGGGCCACCAGGAAAAAAGGAAGAGGCCCAGCCCGAAATCTGACGCGAGAGCTCCCGCTGCAAAGATCTCACGGAAACTGAACCGTCAAAATATCCTAGACGCGGTCGTCACGACACGTCGGCAAACCCGAGTTGCGGCGTACACGTCGTTAATTTCTTTCCGTGCTCGTTTCTACTTGTGCTCGTTTCTAATCGTTCCTGGCCCCCTAGTGGCCGGGAAGAGACCCAGGATGGAACAATCAGAAATGAAAGCATCTTGGCCCCCCAAGGAAATCAAATAATTTTCGAAGACTTAGAGAAGTGAACCATGTGCACTCGTGCCTTGTGTTTCCCTACGTGCCAGTGCTGGCAGAGGAAGAGCTCATCGGCACGAGCATCAGGCTCCGGAGCTCCGCACGGGTGCGTCGCATGGGCGCTGGACCCCGCTCGCGATGTCGCCCGGAGCGCGCCAGGGGCGGCGCTGCACCTGGCGGGCTGGGCCCGCGCCAGGCAACAGGTTTCCAGCGCCGATCCACGGAATCCGCGCGGAGCTCCGAGAGCTCGTGTTCACGGTCGGGGGTGTTTGCTCAGCGTGCCACGGCCGCGAAGCCGCCAGCACGCTGTGCCCAGCGACCCGGCAGCGTGTCGATCCGCTCCGAGGGGCGAGAGACTGGAAAAAGCTGAGGACGATGACGCTTGGGGCCTGAGAACTCGTGGGCGGATCATGCCGAAGAGTGGCGGGCCAGAACCAGCTGCGCTACAGGCTGGGCAAAAGTTCTCGACCGCAACGCGCACGGGGCGCGTCTAGCACGCAAGCCGACCCCGCGGAGTCCATGCTCTTTGGCAGTAACTACACAAGGAAGCCGAGCACACGCGCGGCTGGACTTTCGCTTGCTGGAAGTGCGAAAGCAACGCGCTGGACAATTCCTCGCGCGGATGGCTGGCGTGCCCAGCAGTGGTAGGACTGAGCGCTGGAAAGGCCTGCGGATGCGTGTGTACAGCTCTCGTCCGCGCCAGGCTCCCTGGTACTTCCGCAGGGTGTGGTACAAGGCGTGCCCTGACAACAGTGAGCATGCCCTGCGCACGCCTGCCGAGCACAGCCACCGTGCGGGAGAAGGGGGTCCCCAGACATCCGACGTCGTGATGCTTTCGCGGCGTGGCTCCCGGGAGGTCTGCGGACCCCTCCCCATAGGACGGCCTCTGCGTCCCGAGTCGTGCTCGAGGGCCCCCGGGCCCGCCGAGAGGCCCCACAGGGGGCCCGAAAAGATGGGCAAAAACCATCCCGTCGTGATTCAGGAGGGGATGAAACACACAGACACAATTAATCTGGGAAGTGGGGGGGAAGACAGAAACCCTGAAAATATAGGAAAAGATGGGGAATCCTTCAATCCTTGGGCCCCTTGAGTGATCTGTGCACGACGCGAGGATGTGAGGGGCGGTGCGGGAGGCAGGGCGAGGAAGGAGGCCGCGGAGACGGCGGAAGCGGCGCACGGCCCGCACTCTCAGGCCTTGGCCCTCTCGACCGCCGCGGCGGCGGCGCTCCGCTCCCACCCGAACAGCTCCTGGGCGAGGTCCCCGCGGGCGTCGAGGCGTCGGAAGTCCCGCTTCTCGGTGATGTAGTGGAACTCGATCACCCCGACCTTGAGGAGATGGAGCGCGCCCAAGAAGGTCAATGTCAACCCCGCAAGCTACACGTCGTTGATTTCTGACCGTGCTCATTTCTAAGTGTGCTCGTTTCTAATTGTTCCTGGCCCCCCAGTGGCCAGGAAAAGGCCCAGGATGGAACAATTAGAAATGAAAGGACCTTGGCCCCCCAAAGAATCAAGGAATTCTCGAATTAGAGATGAGCCACGTGTACTGCTGCTGCTGCAGTCGCCGCTGCTACTGCTTTCGGGGATCTTCTGATCCGGGTCAATCCAGACCTGGGTCAGCAGGAAACCAAAAACTGCAATGCAGGAAATAAAAACCGCAACGCAGGTCTTCGCAAACCCGCGTCAGCCAATAGGCGCGGCCGCCTCGCGGCCACGAGCGGCTCGCTCACCCGGGTCAGCCAGAGGGGGTCTTCGCAGGATCCTGCAGGATCTGGCGCTCTGGCTGACCCCCGTTTGCATTGACCCCCGTCTAGCTCAAGGCTCCCGATGCTTGAGAAACGGAAGCACGAAGCAGGAACGCCGGCCATCGAGGAGACGAGGCGGGAGGAGCGGGGCGGGGGGTCACCGACCTCGCGGAGGGAGCCCAGACCTCCCTCCACGCGTCGTGGGAGGAGCACCACGCCGAAGGGGCCTGGGGTCGTTTCCGGCGTCCAGGGCCTGCGTTCCCGAGTCTGGGCCCGTTCTTGGCCCAGGGGGGGGCGACGGAAAGCGACGCTCCTCCTCCTCCTCCTCCTGCTCCTCCTCCTCCTCCTCCTCCTCCTCCTCCTCCTCCTCCTCCTCCTCCTCTGCTTCTCCATCTTCTCCACCCCGACCTTCGGCGGGCTGCGATTCCTGAAAGCAGGTCCTTTTGCCCCCGGCCCCTGGCCCCTCCGCCCTGCCGAGACCGAGTATGGGGCGAGGGTGGCTTCTGGCTCATGCTGCCGCGGAGCCCTCCAGGTATCCCCGGCCACCGCCCATGCTGGGCCTGTTGGGAAGCAGCTCCTGGGAGGTCTTCGAGATAACCAGTAAAGGCGATTCGGCCAGGTTCGCAAAGCAGTTGAGCCGAACCATTCTGGATGAAGCCCGGGATTCAGCCGGATCTAGCAGGATTGAGCCGAATAAGACGGGACCGTGCCGGTTTTCGACCACGGATGCCCCAGCGCCGATGGTGAATCCAACCTCCCAGGAAGTGCACCCTGAGGTCACCTTGCGGACTGGGGGCGAGGGCAATCTGACCGGCTCTTCTGCCAAGACTGGCGGCCGTGCACAGGCAGCCACCAGCGGTGGCCCAGGCTGCACGCAACAGCCCTCCAGGAAACTCTCGGGCGGCCTTGACGTGCCGTGCGCACCATGGAATGCGGCGCCAGGTGCGGTGACCTCCCCAGACTCGGCCACGCGCAGAGGGGGGTGGGGGGAGGGGGAGGGCTTCTCAGAAGCACCCCTGCTTCTTAGAAGGCGCGGGCCTCATCTACAGATGTAAGGCTGGCGCCTTCTAAGAAGCAGCCTCCTTCTAAGAAGCCCTCCCCCCTCCCCCCACCCCCTTGTGCGCGCCGCCAACAGACGGACCATGGGGAGACTGCTGCGAGCGGCCGGGGCCGCCTCGTGGGCCGGAGGGCCGCCTGTGCGCGGCCCTCCGCCCTCCCGGGCGGCGCGCTCCAGCTGGGCGGGATCATGAAGTCGAAGCCCTGCTCCCGGAGGAAGGCCCGCTCGGACCACGTGCACTTCAGGAAGTGGGTGCCGGGCTCCTGGCTGGGCAGCGGCAGCTATAGACACATTCTCTAACCGTGCTATTCGGCACCTAGCCCACGAGCACTCGGCACCTAGGATGCTACTAGCAGTACTGGTCCCGAAGTGGGGCGACTTGACATCAGCGTCGCCTCCTGAACCTCCTCCTCCTCCTGAAGCCTTAGCCTCCTCCTCCTTCAGATTACTAAGTGGTGGTGTGTCACACCACCACTGCCCTATATCCCTGTGCAGGGGAGACCACTGGGCCCGCGGAGGGGGCCCACACACACCTCTCCCTGGCCTCGTTTCCACACATCTAACCCATAGAAGCAATTAAGGACCCCCCCGGCGTTATCATTAGCACCGCGCCGTAATTAAATAATTATTTTGGGGGGGGGTTCGCCGAGCGATATTATTAGCACCGCGCAAATGGAAGGAAAATAAATAATTCCAGCGCCCCGCCTCGGGTGGCATCCCAATTAGAATTGTAATGATAATAAGAATACGAATACGAATAAGGAAAAGCTGAGAAAGGCTAAGGAAAAGCTTAGAAAAGCTAAGAATAAACTGAGAAAAGCTGAGGAAAGCTAAGGAACGGCTAACGGGTGCCAGGATAACGCTTCCGGGTGCCGGGTGCGTTATCCTTTCACCGGAGAGGGGGGGGGGTCCTTAATCGCTTACTCGGGTTATATCTATATTTTTATATATATATATATACACACGCGTCGCTCCCTTCTGCTCGCGATCCTTTCTAAGTGTGCTCGTTCCCAGACTTGTTCCTGGCCCCCTGGTGGCCAGGGAGTGGCCCAGGATAGAGAAGCAGTAGAGATGAAAGGATCTTGGCCCCCCAAGAAGCCCAAGCACCCTCGAAGAATTAGAAAGGAACAGTGTGTAGACCATCTGGGCCCCAGGATGGCCATGCTCATGGGCGGTGGTGGTGTTTCAATGCCTCTTTGGCGCCTTCTCTGTCAGGAGTATGAGGAACCTCGAGGGGAGCAAAACGGCACCCGAAGCCGCTGCTTCCCGGACATCTCCCAGGGTGCGTTCTGACCAGAATTTCGAGGAACGCCAGCCGAGGCGACGGGGGCTCCCCAGGACGAGCGCCGGCATCGGTATACCTTCCCATCCCCCGGAACCTCAGCGTGGTCCACTCCTCGAAGACGGAGAGGTCCAGGCGGTACTTCATCCCGATCTCCTGCGCGGAGATGGTCTGGCACGGGTCGTCGTCCTCCGAGGGGGGGCTCTTGGACGGAGTTCTCGATCGACCCGAGGGCTGCACGCCCTCCGCCGCGGGGCCCTCCTGGCTCCGGGGGGGCCGCTCCTTGGACTGCGCCGCGTAGAGCCGCGCCAGGAAGCGCGCGCCCGTGATGGAGGCGCTGCGGCCCCCCTCGTGAGGGGGTTTACGGGGCAGTTTTTAAGACACAGGATGTTTAAAATATAGGATTTTTAATGCACGATGAATGTATGCATCAATCTATGCGTGAACTCATAGTTGTGATTCATACTAAACCCTGCATGTTTGATACATGATCCGCACGCGGAGCATGCATTAGAAACGGCACTAGAGGGCGGGGAGCCCGGGGAGGCCCCTGTGGAGGGGCTGGCCCGTCGCCACGGCTGGACGCACCATGAAACACTGGGGGCGCTCCTGGGACCGACGCTGAGGTGCCGCTGTCTCGACACGCCCTGCTCCGAGGGACGGGTTCAGGGAGGAGCAGCGACGTCCAGCTGGGCTCAGCGACACATCGCCGATAGATCGGCGATGGGCCCCCGCTGCTCAAGCAGCCTGCACGCTCCTGGGCGGGGTGGACTGTCGGGGCCCTATCGGCGATGTGCGGGCGATCCAGGGCCGATGCACCGCCCCCCCGCTGAGCCTCTTCCCCCCCCTGGCATTGCACCGGACCTCGGCCGGCGCCACCCTCTGCCCGCAGCACTGGAGGGCGTCGAAGGTCCGGAACACGCCGAGCCTCTCGCGGATGTGCTGGGTGCAGGCGGGCGTGAAGAGGCTCCTGTCGTAGAGGCACTCCGGGGTGCACAGCCGCGGCTGGTCGTGGCAGCGGTTGAAGATGGCAACGAACATGTCCGCGGAGCAGTTCCAGAACTTGTACTGGAAAGCGCTGGTCATGGCCGTGCGCCTGTTCTTCAATGACCGGGTCATTCGCCATGCCACGTCGCCCATCCCCTCGGGCCGGCGCGGGTTCGGGAGCGCACGGCACAGCCTGGACACCTGCACCACCGTGAAGACCATGTGCTGGGAGACCGTTCGGAATGCCATGATCTTGTCCTCCGGGCTGCACTCGCTGGCCGTCATGGCAGCGATCAGCTGCGTCACCACGGCGTCGGCCGTCGCCGGGTCCGCGAGGCGCGGGGCAGAGTGCGGGGGGCTCGCGTAGTCGAGATTCAGGGATCCTGCCATGGGGTTCGCTGGCACCTGAAAAAGCTGCAGGCTTTTGAGCGGCTGCCACAACCAAGTGACGTTCCGGGCACCCTCGTGATTGCCGTGCTGCGAGGTATCGACCATCTTGCCGCCGATCGCTATGGCCTTTTCGTAGGCATTGATGATCTGCAACCTTTCTGCAACGAAGCGGTCAGTGAGCTGGTCCAGACTCAGCTGGTAAACCCCGGTAGGGCTCGAGTCTTGAAAGAAAAACAAGGCCCGAGCCTCTTTCCGGAAGCGCGCCGCAACCGTCTTCTGCTTGGACATGAGCTCGAAGAGGAGCAGCTGCCGTGTGTCCACCAGCGTGGGGTACAGGCTGCGCACCATCACGTCGTGCAGCATCGGGCACGTCTTCAGGAGCTTCTGGAGGTGGCAGGTCTTCAGCAACAAAGTCTCCCCCATGGACTGAATCAGTAAAGCCTCTGCTTGGCACGGGAGGGGAGAAGATAAGGAGGGGGAGCCCCGAGATTCGACATCACGGAAATACAACATCGTCAAAAATCACGCCGAAAGCCCTGGATCCCATCTTTCTGCTGCATCTTTCGAGCCCGACCGATCCGTGAGGGCCCTTGGGCCCCGAAAAAAGGCAGAACCGCCCGTTGTGGAAACACTGCGACGCCAAGACCTCAAGGAAAAGGGGAGACAGCACAAACCGGCAGGGCCTTCTGCTCCAAGCTCAGGCCGAAGAAGAGCTCGTGCAGCAGCACGAAGCGGCTGAGGGTGACGGGGATCCTGCGGGACGTCATCCAGCGCCGGACCGCGCCCACGGCCGTCTTGTGGGCGGCGAGCTGCAGGTCCAGCGCGAAGCTCAGCTTCAGCTTGCCCCGCGTGGGCACCTCCCAGTGGCCCTCGCTGCCCTCCGCGTACCAGCCCTCGCCGAACTGCGCCTCGCAGAGGGGCCGAGCAAGACGAGACACGAGAATCCCGGAGACCCCGGCGCCGCGCAGCATTCACAGCGGCCGACTCTGCCCTGTCTCGGGGCCCGGGGCCCTCACGGGTCGATCCAGCTCGAAGCATGCAGCAGGAAGGTGGGGTCCGCAGGGCTCTATGGTCGAGGCTGCCTACGACTCTGCAATCCCTGCGTGGCGTCGGATCTCAGGGCTTTCCTCCACGAGGGCACGAACGCCACCGCAGGCAGCAGTCCTGGCAGAGCCTCTGAGCCGGTTGGGCATCTCTGCGGCCATGCTGTTCATCGGCGGTGGACAAAGCTCCCTTTAGTACACCTCCCCTTAGTGAAAGCGGCCTGGGACCAAAACCGACGGACCTGGATCCGCAAAAACGACGGCCGCGACGCCCCCTTACGAACCGAGAACGGCCAATTCCTGAATCGACGTGTCAGGGTAGGAGGTCTGTCCACCCCCCAGTTCCGACACTGTCGGAACTGGAGGTCCGCGCGGGGACCTACCGGAGCGGCGCCCCTGCACCGTATATCACGCCCAGACTCCGCTGATGCCCCCCGCTCTGGCCCAGGACGGTGCATAGTTTCTGGGGCTCCGAGGGCCAGAAGACTACAGGGCAGCTTGTAATACATAGGATTTTTTGAAGCATATGATTTTTAATACATGATTAATTTATGAATGAATTTATGCATGAACTCCTCGCTGTTTTTATGCTAAATCCCTGCATTTTTAATACATGATCCGCACGCGGAGCATGTATTAAAAACGGCACTGTATGCACCGTACCACTCGGGGGTCGGGGATCGACGACGCCTCGGGAGACGCCATCGCGGCACGCTGTACACGAGTCGTCCGCGGAACTTCTTGGGTCGGCGCTGGACTCCACGTGGCGGCGCCTCCAGTGCCGCCCCTGACATCGGGGAGGGCATGCCAGCACCGATCCGAAAAATTCGCGCAGACCTCCGACAATGTTCTGTTCGTGCCGCTCTGCTCAGCGCCGACCCAACGAATCCACGCGGACGCGGACCTCCGGAGGTTCCTGTTCCTGCCGTTATTCTGCCCTTCGAGCCTTGACAGCAGTCGGGAAGTCGCAGCTGACGTGGGAGAAGGCACCTGCATCGGACGAGGGCCATGTGAGACAGCGGCGGCTCTCCAGCCCGGCCCGAAGCCGCTCAGAGATGAATCCCGAGACCCCTCTGGGGGTCCATCCCGCCCCAAAGTGGTCGAGGCGCATCCAGCCGTGGCGACGAGCAGCCTCCTCCAGGAAACCAAGACAGGACGAGAAATGGCAGCGAGGGCCGCCGATGTTTCGACCCTGAGGCCGACAGCACGAAAAAGTAACAACGTCGTAAACAACTCACCAGAGCACTGGGCCCCTCTTTCTGCTGCATTTTTCGATCTGGATCGCTCCGTGAGGGCACCAGGGTCCGAACGGGGCAGAATCGCCCGTTGTGAAATAACAAAATCAACGCCATGATCCCAGAGTCGGTGTCCCCCCTCAGACCTGCAGGGTCCCCGCGCGGGTCGTTCACTGCCGCCTCCGACAGCAGCCAGCGGGCCACCGCGCGGTGCTGCGGGTGGCCGAGGTCCAGCTCGTAGCGGCCGTTGGGGGCCGCGAAGTTCACCACCACCGCGTCAGGCCCAGGGCTGCACTCGCGGAAGTCGGTCACGATGCACCGGTGAGGCTTCGTGTCGCGCACAGGCCGCCCCTCTCGGTGGTCCCAGCTGGCCTCGGCGTGCCACCCGAATAGCCTGGCCGCAGCACGTGTCGAGAACGTCCCTGGCCACTCGGGGGTCGTCGTCGTCGTCGTCGTCGTCGTCGTCGTCGTCGTCGTCGCCGCCGTCGTCCTCGTCGTCGTCGTCGTCGTCGCCGTTGTCGTCGTCGTCGCCGTCGTCGCTGTCGTCGTCGTCGTCGCCGCAGCTGGGACTACCTGAGGGGGCTGTCTCTGCGCAGCCCGAAGCGCTACCAGCGATGCACGAGACCAGGCTCGAGTCGGGGTCCATCAGCACCCTCAGGAGGGCCTTGAGCCCCTGACCTGGGCAAGGGACAGGATCGGCGCGACCATGCCAACTATCGGACCTCCGCGCGGATTCGCTGGATCGACGCTGGACACCCCTCGATGGCACGCGAAGCGCGCCAGGAGCGGCGAATGGCGGCACCTCCAGCGCTGCCCCCAGCGCGCTCCGCGCGCTTGGGAGGGGGATCCAGCGCCGGTCCAAGAGATCCGCGCGGAGGGCGCGAGTACGCGTGACCAGTGTCAGACGGGCAAATGGAGGCATATAGACATACATTTTCGGACATCCACGTGAACTTCTTGGGTGGGCGCTGGACCGCCTTGCGGCGCCTCTGGTGCCGCATCTGTGGCGCGCTCTGAGCGCCTGTGAGGGGGCCTAGCGCCATTCAAAGAGAAACCGCGCGGACCTCTGAAAGCTTGCGCTTACGGTCGGTCACTTTGCTTAGCGTGTCGCGGCGGCAGCCCCGGCGAAACGCAATGCCCTGCAAGCGGATGGCGTGCCGCTCCCCCCGCGGGGCGGGCGGCTCGCGAAGGCTCCGAACGTTGAATCATGGGGTCTGGGACGTGCTTGGCGTGTCGCGCCGAGGAGTGGTGGGCGCGGGGCGACACGCTAAGAAGAAATCCCTGACCTCATGCCACTTCTTCTTCTTCTTCTTCTTCTTCTTCGTCGTCTTCTCAGTATTATTATTATTATTCGTATTCTTATTCCTCGATGACCGCCATGCGGGTTGCCAGAGATGTCGACGTACTGCAGCGTCTTGTTGGGCTGCAGAGCCGTCAGCAGCACCACGTCCACCGCGTAGTCGAGGGACGAGGAGGCCATGCAGAGCTCGACCTGAGCATCGCTGAACCGATCACTACCCCACTGGCGTGGCCTGGGCCCCACTGGCCCGCTTACCCCCTTAGATCTACATGCAATTCCCTTTGGGTCTTGAGGGACCGATCCGCAACTGGGCTTGAGGGACGTATCACCCACTGGGCTGGAGGGCTTGAGAAACACCGCCGGATTGAAAAAACATGTCATCGGAGGATTGGGCCCTGGTAGGGCCGAGAGACTGTGGCCCAGTGAGGATGCTGGTCTGCTTTCTCTCTGGCGCTCCGCGCTCGGGGCGCGGGGAAGTGCAAAATTGAAGCTGGGCGGACTCGCCCTCGCCCTCGACCCGGCCACGCGGCAAGACGGCCGCAACCCCGTCACGGAGCGGCGCCGCTGCCCACGGCTTCGCCACGCACGTCGCCTCCGAAACGCGCTCCCCGGCCCGCCTCGGCAGGGCGACCGTGCGGCAGGCCCGTGCCGCGGCGACTTCGGCGGGGACCTCCCCGTGAGAGGGAACGAGACCACGAGGCTCGAGGCTCGGATTAGGTCGAGCGTGTCCTCCTACAGGCAGATTGCTGAAGAAACATAAGCAATCGTAAAAAATATTAGACCACACTCGAAAGAGCAAAGAAATTGTTTTCTCCCAGCCCTCCTGCGTTGGTTTCTCGTTTTGAATAGACCAATGCGGTCGCACATCTTCATTCCTTCCTTCCTTCCCGCCTCCCTCCTCCCGCCTCTCTCCTCCTCTCATCTTTCATGCCTGCTTCTTACCTCGCTCTTTCCTGCGTGCCAGTTTGCCGCCTACCTGGTCATCCCTGGTACCCTCGGCGGAGTGACGCCCTACGCGGATCACCAGAAGACCTCGCCATCCCTGAAGGGCTGCGATATGCAAAGCTGTCGCCACTCTCGAAAGGTGCTGGGGGGGTCCAGCGGAGTGGCGTGCTACGCAAACGCAAATTCGACCTCGCCATCCCTGTGGGGCTAAGATCTGCGAAACTGTCGCCAACTGCAAAACTGTCGCCACTTTCGAAGGGTGCTGGGGGTCCAATGTAACGACGTGCTACGCAAAACTCAGACTGGACCTCGCAGCCCCTGTGTGCTTGCGATCTGCGCAACTGTCGCCGCTTTCGAAGGCTGCTGGGGCGTCCAGCGGGGTGACGTGCGCCGCAGACTCAGATTTGACCTCGCCATCTTTGTGGGGCTGTGATCTGCGAAGCTGTCGTCCATTTCGAAGGCTGATAAGGGGGTCCAGCGGGGCGACGTGCTACCTAGACCCAGATCAGACCTCGCCATCCCTGCGTGGCTGAGATGTGCGAAACTCTCGCCGCGTTCGATGGCTTCTGAAGGTTCTAGCGGAGCGACGTGCTACGCAGACTCAGATTGGACCTCGCCATCCCTGTGGGGCTGCGATCTGCGAAATGGTCGTCACTTTCGGGGGCTGATGTGGGGTCCAACGGGATGACGTGCGACGCAGACTCAGACTCGACGGCGCCATCCCTGTAGAGCTGTGATCGTGGAAATTGTCGCAACTTTCGGGGGCGCCTGCGGGTTCCAGCGGAGTGACGTGCTACGCAGATTCAGATTCGATTTACCCATCCATGTGGGGCTGCGATCTGCGAAGCTGCCGCCACTCTCGAAGGCTGCTGGGGGGTCCAACGGAGTGACGTGCTACGCAGACTCAGACTCGACCCCGCCATCCTTGTGAAGCTGTGACCTGCGAAACTGTCGTCAATTTCGAGGATTGGTGCGGGGTCCACCGGGGCGACGTGCTACGCAGACCCAGATTGGACCTCGCCATCCTGGGGGGGCTGCGATCTGCGAAAGTGTCGCCGCTTTCGAGGGCTGCCGGGGGGTCCAACGGAGCGACGTCGTGCACAGATTCCAATTCGACCCCGCCATCCCTGGGGGGCTGCAATCTGCGAAACTGTCGCCGCTCTTGAGGACTCTTGGGGGGTCCAGCATAGTGACGTACTGCGCAGATTCAGATTCGACACCATTCATGGGGGGCTGCGACCTGCGAAATTGTCGCCACCTTCGAGGCTTGCTGGGGGGTCCAGCGGGGCGCTGTCACAGGCCGCCCGCGGACCTGGCGGCGCGCCTTGGAGCGCTTACCTCCCGCATCGAAAACTGCAGGAAGGAAGCAAAGAAACTGGCGGGCGAGCTAGGCCCCGCGCGCTTCTTGCACGGACTACAAGAATAATTAATCCTTTTGTCGAACTCCGCGGCGACATGGCGCAGGCAACGCTGCATCTTTAGCGCACTACCGACAAAAACAACACTCTTCGGTTTCCTCCCGTCGCCCCGTCGTCGTCATCTGCCCCCTGCCACCTTCCCTCTTCTGCTGCCGCGCTGACGGTTCGGCCCCCCGCGCGTCCTTCTCCTGCCCTTTTTTCCCGCCCCCATGTCTTATTCAAGCCTGGGCCCTCGCTCCTCGTCCTTCTGATGTTATCCTGTGAGTCGTGCCACGTGAGCGCAGCCCGTGCAGCTAGTACAACATATAACGGCGCCTGCACATCCACTGTCTGGGCATATTTGGGTCAACTCTTCTTGTCACTTGTTGCAAATGGGTTGGGCACGTCGCAAGTTACTCTAAAAATTCTTGAATATTCCTCCTGTAGAGGGACATACCCGACTTAAGACTAGGATGGGGACAGGTTTAACGATACTGACGACCAACGGCCCCAGAGGACCCGACCCCTTCGCTGGGGATTTTGTTTCGTCCCGGATCAATGTTTGATGGCCACCATGCCTGATTAACGAGCCCGGGAGGCCGAAACCGATACGAGAAACGCCGCCGGATTGAAAACGCAGATCCTCGGAGGCCTGGGCCTGGGCCTGGGCCGAGATACCATTCTATATACCATGGCCCCGTGCGCAAAGGGGCTGGGCTTTTCACCACACCGGCGACCAGCGACTGGTTCTGGCTGAGCGCCTCGCACAGCAGCGCCATCGGGTTGAAGCCGGGGCCCGCCGCCGCCGACCGCCCCGCCGCCGCGGGGGGGGCCCGCCCCTTAGACGCCGCCCGTCCGCCCCCGCCGCTGGCAGGCCGCGGGGGCGCCTCGGACGCAGAGGCACCCGGGCAGCTCGAGCTGCTGACCTGGAGGAACAAAAACGGCACGAGCTTCACGTCGGTCGTGTCTGAAGGGGCCCTGGGACACACAAACAAACACACACACACACACACACACACACACACACACACACACACACACACACACACACACACAAATAACAGGATTCCCCACATTTAGAAATATTTTCTGGGTTTTTGTCTTCCCCCCCACTTCCCATGTTTTCCAATATTTTTCTGGGGATCCACGATTAATTGTGTCTGTGTTTTTTCCCCTCCTGAGTGTCCCTCTACAGGAGGAACAACTGCTCCAAAAAATCAAAGAAGCAATCTGGAGACGTTTTTTTTTACTATCTTGATACCTGTTGACTGTGACTTTGACATATTGTTTTTCCTTATGCATTTTTCGTCAACGCTCCGCCTGTAGGACGACATGCCCGACCTAACACGAGCAGAGACTTTCACAGCTCCGTGCAGATTTCTTGGATCGGCGCCTGAGCTCCCAAGCGGCGCCTCTGGCGCCGCCCCTGGCGCGCTCCGCGCGCCAGGGAGGGGGGCCCAGCGCAGATCCGAGAAATCTGCGCGGAGCTCCAACAGTTGATGTTTCTGTAGTTTTCTTCTGGTCTTCGATGACCAGGTGGGTCATAGCGTTGTGGCTCACGTCCAGGTGCCCGATCGTCGCGGTGCGGCGCACGGTCTCGGCCAGCGCCTCGAAGCCCTCCTGGAAGATGCAGTTCCCTCCGACGGCCCGAGAAAGCCAAGGCGGCACGAGCATGAACTTCTGGAGCTCCGCGCGGACGGCTCGGACCGGCGCTGGCCTCCCCCAGCCCTCGTGCGCGGAGAGCGTGGCGGGGGCGGCGCCGGAGGTGCTGCAGAGGGGGCCCCAGCGCCGATCCAAGAAATCCGCCGGGAGCTGGGAAAGTTGACTTTCAGGAACTTTGGCATAGCGTGTCGCCACGGCGGGGCGCTCCTTTGCAAGTACGTCGGCTTCGGCACCGCCTGTTCCCGAGGTTTTGCCTCCTCCCGGCCTCGTTCTGAGGCTGCGCCCCCCTTTTCCTCCCCCATCTCTGGTTCATTCAAGCATCGCGCGGCCCGCTTAGCTTCGACCGGAAGAGGTGCGCTCTCGACCCGCGAATCAAAAAGTGTCGCCACGGCGGCCCCGGCGACACGCTATGCCTTGCGAGTAGAGAGCTCGGGCGCCGTTCCGTTCCGCGGGGCGGGAGGCTGGGCTTAAGCTCGGCACGCGGACGCCCCAGGAGCGCCAGGGTGGCTGGCGTATATCGCGTCGGGGCGCGGTGGGCCAGAGCCGGCGGAGCGACACGCTGGCCTTAAGTCGGGCCTGTCCCCCTACAGGGGGATTTTCGATTACTTTTTTAAAATGCCAAAAAATAATAGTCCAAAAATAGTATGGCGACTATGTCTTCAATCTGTTTTGACCTTTTCGGGGCATTTTTGGGGTACGTTTTTATTCTTCGTCGAAAATCCCCCTGTAGGGGGACACGCCCGACATAACGCTAGCCAAAAGTTCCCGACCGTATGCCCATGCGGCTGTGTGCCCCTCGAGATGCACAGGCGGCGCAGCCGGCGGGCGTCCATGGCGAAGAGGGCGATCTGCTGCACGGACCGCTGCGAGACCCGCCCCAGGCCCGTCTCCGAGACGTCCAGCTCGACCAGGCGGTCGTGCACGTGCAGGGCTGTGCAGAAGGAGGCCCACGTGCTCTCGGAGAGGACACACCCAGCGAGCTCCAGGACCTCCAGGGTCATCCACTCCTGCTTGGTGAGGCTTCGGGTTCCTGACAGACGCCTCCACATGTCACAACACTTGGGCGCGGAGCGCGCCCGTACGGGCCCTGGCCGCCCCCAACCCCCCCAAGTGACGTCACGATTCGTGCTGACGTCCGAGTTGACTTTGGTTATTGCGCTGGCGCGAAACGTGGCATTACCGTCCTCCCCTCCCCCCCCCTCGCGGTAACGCCTGTTATCGCCCGGGGATAAAAAACACTCTCCTACCCGGGGACTGCAGTGCGCAGCCCGAGGCCTTACCACTCCTGCTGCAGCTTCTTCGTGACGAGGCCAAGGGTGGAGCTCGCGGCCCCGGAGTACGAGAGCCTCAGCCTTTGCAGCGAGTACGCGTGGCCGATGTTGGAGGACAAAAGAAGGCGCATCACATAAAACATTCGAAGTCCGCGTGGACTTCTTGGATGGGCGCTGGAGCCGCCTCGCGGCCCCTCCGCGCGCCGGGGAGGGGGGGCCCAGCGCCGATCCGAGAAGTCCGCGCAAACCTCCGAACGTTTCTGCTTCTGGTCGGGAACTCTTGCTTGGCATGTCGCAGCGGCAGCCCTGGGGACGCGCTGTGCCCTGCAAGTGGCCATCGTGTCGCTCGGCTCCGCGGCGCGGCAGGCTCAGGAAGGCTCGGGACTCTGACGCTGGGAAACCGGGATCTGGATTGGAGGGCCAAGACCGGCGGGGCGACACGCGAATGCAAAAATGCCGACCGCCTGCCGATGTTTCTCCTCCGCCATGTGCTCCAGGAACTTGGCGACGCCGGCATCCGTGAAGGCGTTGCGCGAGAGGTCCAGGTTCGCCAGGCGAGGCTCGTGCCCGCCCAACGGCTCGCAGAGCGCCAGCAGGTCCCGGTCGCTCATCTCCCCAGAGATGCTAATGGTGGGCACGCTGCTCTCGAACGTGAGCTTATTGAGCTTCCGGCGCCCCCCCGGGGTTCTCTCCTATAAAGAGATTTAGAAAGAATCGGCATATACATAAGCTCTGGGAAGTCCACGCGGATTTCTTGGATCGGCGCTGGACCCCCCTGGCGGCGCCTCCGGTGCCAGCGCCGATCCAAGAAATCCGCGCGGAGCTCCTGAACTCTATGATACGCAAATACGGAATTCTACTCCACGATCTCCGACAAGGTCAGGTTCGCGTCGCCGGACGGGCTCGTGCAGATGGCGGCCTCGGGGCCCAGGAACATCGCGGGCATGCGCGGCACCATCTTCAGCCGCCGGCACTCCTGGAAGTACTTCCAAGTGTCCGACTGCACCAACGCCCCCGAGTCCTGCACCTGGTGCGCGCGCGGGAAGCTCTCCCCCCGCACGGGCCGCCTCGGCGCCCTCGACGCGGAGGAGGCGCCCCTGCCGGCGCCGGCCGTCGAGCTCTTGCTGGGCGCACCGGCGCACAGCCGCGCCGCCTCCGTCACCGCCCAGACGCACGAGCGGCCCCTGCCCTCCGCCAGCTCGTCCAGGTGCACCAGGCCGGGCATGGACGCCGCCCGGGAGAGGTCCGGCAGCACCGGCGGCCTCGCGCCCGCGTCGGGCGCCCGGAGCGACGAGGTGCTGCGCGCCTCGCGGCCCTGGGGCTCGCTGGGCCCGCCCGCGCAGGAGCTGCCGCCGCTCGAGCTGCCGCGCTGCCGCTCGTCGCCGGGCGCCGTCGACTCGAACAGCTCCTCGAGCGTCTGGACCGGTCGCGGACCGTGCCTACGGGCGGACCGCTTCCATCGGAAAGCACACGCGCTGTGAGGTGAGACTGGCGCCCGCGGCGCCCTCGGAGCCAGCGCGGGCAATGATGCCCTACACGCCCCTTCGCAAGGGAGGGTGGCTCCCTCAGGGTCCGAACACCTGTGAGCAACCATGCTGGCGCATGGATGGGGAGCGTTCCCTCCTTTTTCGCGATAACAGCCGTTACTGGCCCCGGCCGCCGCCCCCCTTCCCCCAGGGAACGTCACGATACGCGCTGACGTTCGAGCTGTCTTTGGTTATCCTCAGACATTCCCAAACGGCGCCAGCGGGAAACGTGACGTTGCCGCCCCCCCCCCACCCCCCCGGGCAAAGCTCGCCCTGGAAGAAGAACGCTCCCTCCGTGAGATCCGACGTCGCCATACAGCATCACAAACAAAAGCGCGACCGGACCCCCTGACCCGACCGTTCTGCGTCATCCTTCGAGCCAGATCGATCTGCGAGGGTCCCGCGCGGCCCGAAATGGAGCCGAACACGCCCGGCTCGAAAACACTGGGTCACCAGCATCCCAGGCCTTGTGTCGGGCGTTGGCAGAACTGGGCTTAGTGGGACCTGGTTTAGTGATGTGTGCTGGGGGACGCCCCCCGGCCCCATTCCACCAACCAGAACTCCCGCCCCCCGAAAAAAACACCAGCTGCGGCAGACCTGCTTTAGTGATTCTGGTCAAATTAGGGGCTCCAGGGCCCAGCCACTATCCGGCTGGGCGAAAGGGGGGGATAGCAAAGGGGGGGTTTGAGAATCAGCTCTCGTAGCTGATTTTCCCAGCGCCTCACGGTACCGGAGGCGGCCTCGAGGAAGGGGCCCCTCGGTGGGGCCGAAACCAGCTGCATGCAGCAGATGTTGTAACCCCCCCTTTCCCAATCCCCCCCTTCTCGTCCGACCCGACACCCGACACTCACCGGGTCCCCTGACCTGCATGGGGCCCTGGCTCTACCCGATTGTATATACTCCCCCGAGGTGCCCCCCTGCCGCGGGCGCCGGCAGGGGGAGCCGCGTGCTGCTGGACGGCCTCAGCGTGGCCTCGGCCGCCGCGGCGCTCAGCGGCCTGCCGAGGGCCCCCAGCGTGGCGTGGCGGCTGGGCCGGGCGCCGCCGGCGCTGCTGCAGCGCTGCGGCGGCTGCGCACCGAGCGGCCGGCGGCCCACCGCGCCGGACGGGCCCGCCGGCACGGGGAGACGGCTGGAGATCGCTTTTTTTTTTCTCGGCAAGAGCCCCGGGTCCAGGAACGAACAAAAATACAAAGAACCAAGAAGTACACGACGGGAGGAGTTGTCCCATCTTCGGCCCCCACATGGGGGCCCGCACCGGGCCCCGGGACCGCCACACAAAACGCTCCAGGAGGAGAAACTGGCCCCGGGGACTGGGTCGAGACCTTTGGGGGGTGGACGTCCCGGGCCCCGGGACCGCCAGGAAACAAATTGGCCCTTGGAAGGGGCCGAGGCCTTCTGCTGCAATGCCCGCTCTCCGCTGTCTGAGTTGTATGAGTTGTACGTGAAGTAGATGATGCGTAATCCAATAAGCACGGCTATCCTCTTTCTAATTCACAGTCTACAAGACATTGTTTGGGCGTGTGTACAAATTAGCCAAATGCAAGCAGTGAGCTTGTTCATGTAAACAGAACTCAAATCGCATGTTAAACAACTCAAATAATATGTTCACCCCCCATGGGGGGTGGGCGTTCTGAAGATCATGCTTATGTTGTTCCCATCCCACTTAAGCACCACATCCCAGAAACAACTTCGAGCACCCGGAAAAGTGTCAAAAGAGTGTCGAAAGATGGTCGAAATAGTGTCGGGCGAGTCTCCCAGGGCCCGACACGAAAAAACCCTTGAGTTTCGGCCCTCTTTGGGGCGCTCGAAACTCGTCCTGGCGATCAAGGCTGAAGTAGGCTGCAGCATCATGAGATCACGCATGACGTCGGAGGTCTGGGGCCCTGGTTCTCTCGGGGGGCAGGGGCGCTCGGAGGTGCCAGGCAGCCGCGCGGGCACCGGCACCGCGCACTTTCCCCCGTTATAACGGACCTGCGCAGCCGACAGGGCCAGGCGCTCCTGGGGGAGAGGACCTTGAAGGGGCCCTGGGACACACAACTAAAGACACACAAATAACAGGATTCCCCATATTTCCCGATGTCTTCCGGGCTTTTGTCTTCCCCCCCACTTCCCATATTTTCCTATATTTTCTGGGTAACCGACGATGAATAGTGTCTGTGTGTTTTTTTTCCTTCCTGAGACTTGGAGTCCCGAAACGGTGCGGTGGCAGAACGTGCGGTGACCTCGACATCCTCCAAGACCTCACCGCACAGTCCGTCACCGCACGGTCTTGGGACCCCGCGGAGGCCCCTGTCGCCCGAGGCATCCTCGGAGAACGTCCCGCGTCCCGCCCAAAACCGTGCGGTGACCGCGAAGCCCCGTCGACTCACCGCACGGTGTGGCCACCACTGCGTTCTGGGGGCCCCCGAGAGGAGTCGGAGGGGCGGGCGGGCCCGAGCACCCGGCTTGCCGCCGCGAGGCCCTCGCAACAAAAGCAAGATCCTGAGCTCGGGGCCCACGATGCCCAGCTCACAGCGGCCCGCGCCACCAGACACCGCCTGCGGGCCAGCGGCTGCGCGGCCCGGGCCCAGGGAGGCGCCCTCCCACTTTGTCGCGTCAACGTGGTAGGCCTTCCAGAAGTCCTGCCGGGCCCTCGCCCACGCGTACACGTCGGGGGGAGGGCCCCCGTCCGCGGAGGGCGCCGGCATGTGCAGCCAGTCGAGCATGAGGTCTTGAAGCTTGTACTGTATCCTCCGCGACGAGGTTGTCTGAATGACCTTGCGGAGGCACCGCACCAGCTTCTCCGCCGGCGTACCCGACGGGTCCGGAGGCGTGCCCGGCGTGTCCGGAGGCAGCTCCTGGGCGCCCCGCCTCGCCCTGGGGCGGCGCACGCGGAGGTCGATGTCGTCGAAGGTGATGAGCAGCTTGCGGATCATGAAGCCGTCGTCCTCCACCGAGGCCTCCTCCGAGCAGGCCGCCGATCCTGGAGGGGCAGAACATGTCAACAACAAGCAGCTACGTTCGGAGGCCCAGGCGGACCTCCGGAAGTCCCTGCTTCCTGCGCGTGTCCTGGTTTGCTCCCCGAGGTCCTCTCGGGCCGGCGTCAGAGTGCGCTTCCAGCTGCTGCGCCACGGCGGCCTTTGACAGCCGTGCCTCCTTCGCGGGCGCGTCGGGGGCGGCGGCTGCCTCGCCGCGGCCCGGCGCGGCCTTCGAGGGCGGCGGCGCCTTCGCGGACGCGACGCCGGCGGCCGCCTTCTCGCCGTCGGCGTCCGCGCCGCCGCGCCCGCCGCGGGCGGGCCTCCCCCTCCTGCCCTGCCGCCCCATGCCCGCTAGCGGCCACGCCGCGGCGGCCGCCCGACGGTGGCTGCTCCAGCCTCGGCCATCGCAGCAGGGCCGCGCGGGCGGGGCGGGCAGCGGCCCTGCTGCGAGCCCGGCTCGCCCCGCTGCCAGCTGTGCCGTGCCTGCTCCGCAGTGCAGCTGTGTGGTGCGGGGTGCTGGTCACGCACTGCAGGCGATCTGGTGGTGTAACCTCTGCGGTGAGGCTTCGGGCCCTGGCGTCTGTACGTGCGTCCAGCGCAATGTTTCTGCGCCACCCCGCCCACACGGAGGCCCCTCGAAGCACCCTCCTCACGGATCGATGGCGGCTCGGAAAATCAGAAAGGTGGGGTGCAGGGCTCCTCTGATGTTGTGTTATGTTCGCGCGCGACTCCCTCGCACAGAACCCCAGAAAGCTTCCTGGAGACCCCAGGCAGGCCCCTCGAAGCACCCTCACAGATCGATGGCGGCTCGGAGAAGCTAGCAAAAGATTGGGCGCAAGGTTCTGGTCGAGTTTTCTGGATGCTGCATTTTTGTCGCGCGCCGCTCCCCCGGATTGAACCCCAATTATGATGTATGCTGATGATGGTGAGGATGATGAAGATGCTGATGCTGATGCTGATGCTGATGCTGATGCTGATGATGCTGCTGCTGATGATGATGGTGGTGGTGATGATGATGATGATGATGATGATGATGATCCTGATGATGCTGATGATGATAATGAGGATGATGAGGATGATGCTGAGTATGATGATGATGATGATGATGATGATGGTGATGATGATGATGATGATGATGACTATGGTGATGACGAACATGATGATGGTATTGATGATACTGATGTTGATGATGATGATGCTGATGATGGTGAGTATGATGTTCATGAGGATGCTGCTAATGATACGTGATACTGATCGTGAGGAGGATCATGAGACTGAACGTGATAATGATGATGTTGATTAAGATGGTGATGTGCTGATGATTATGGTGATGATGATGGTGATGATGATGGTGATGATGGTGATGCTGATAATGATGATGATGATGATGATGATGATGATGATGATGATGATGATGATGATGATGATGATGATGATGATGATGCGGATGATGGTGATGATGATGATGATGATGATGATGATGATGATGATGATGATGATGATGATGATGATGATGATGATGCGGATGATGGTGATGAGGATAATGCTGATGATGATGCCGATGATGGTGATGGTGGTGATGGTGATGATGGATGGTGATGGATGGTGATGGTGATGGTGGTAGTGATGCTGCCTGCAGACCCCTGGCAGCCACTCGCATACCCCAGAATTCCCCGGCCCGCATCGACAAATCACGGCGGGCGGCGGCTCCTGCCACTGAGGCCTCTGGAGGACCGTCTCGGGCGCAGGGGCCATCAACGCACCGCTCCGGGAGGAGAGGGCAGCCGCGAGGAACGGGTCGAGAGCCTCCTCCGCTTCCTCCTCCGCCATCCCTCCTCCCTCCTCCTCGTGCCACCCCTTTTGCCTTTCCAAACACTTCCATCTCAACCCCTCCTCCTCCTCCTCCTCCTCCTCCTCCTCCTCCTCCTCCTCCTCCTCCTCCTCCTCCTCCCCTCCTCCCCCTCCTCCCTCCTCCCCCCCCTCCTCCGAACCTCCTCCTCGTCTCCTCCTCCTCCTCCACCCTCTCCTCCTCCTCCTCCTCCTCCTCCTCCTCCCCCCCCTCTCCCTCTCGCCCTCCCATCCTCCTCTTCGTCCTCCTCATCCAAATAATGATGACGGCAAGGATGAAGATGCGGATGCTGATGATACTGATGATGCTGATGATGATTATGGTGTCGAGGACGATGATGGTGGTGATGGTTATGGTGATGGTGCTGATACTGCTATTGCTGCTGCTGGTGATGATGATACGAAAGACGATGAACGTGATGTTAATCTTCAATATTGAATACACAATAGCATCACCAATATAATCATCATCATGCTCATCACCATCATCATCATCCGCATCATCATCATCATCATCATCATCATCATCATCATCAACATCATCATATTTAATCCGTACCACCACAACCATCAGCATCATCATCAGCATGCTCATCCTCATCATCTTCATCATCCTCATAAGCATCACCATCACCATCATCACCATCATCCTCAGCCTCAGCATCAGCAGCATCATCATCAGCATCAGCATCATCAGCACCAGCATCAGCACCAGCATGAGCATGAGCATCAGCATCAGCATCATCATCAGCAGCATCATCATCAGCATCATCATCAGCATCATCATCATCGTCATCATCATCATCATCATCATCTACATCATCATCATCATCATCATCATCATCATCATCCTCATCATCCTCATCCTCATCATCATCATTTTCATCATCATCATCATCATCAACAACATCCTCATCCTCATCCTCATCCTCATCCTCATCCTCATCCTCATCCTCATCCTCATCCTCATCCTCATCCTCATCCTCATCCTCATCCTCATCCTCATCATCATCATCATCATCATCATCATCATCATCATCATCATCATCATCCATCCTCGCTCTGGCCACGGAGGGGACGTTGCACTCGGTGGGCCGCGGTCCTCCCCCATCCGCCAGCAGAACAGCGCGGCGATCTGCAGGGCCGTCATCAGCGCGTCGTGGATCTCCTGCGCCGTCAGGAAGCACTGCGCGGATAGGGTCGCAAGGAAGCCCTCGTGGGCCTCTAGGACCTCGCCGAACTCGCGGGAGGCCTCCACCGAGTGCATTAGCTTAGCGAAGGAGGCCTCGATGACGTCCTGGGGTTGGGGGCGGGCGGGAAGGTATCACCCCAACGTGAGCTTTCGAAGCGCGGCCTCGCCCGCGATGCTTCCGGGGACGGCGTCTGAACCCTCTAGGCTGCCAGGGAGGCAGACGAGTGGGCCGACAGCTGTTACGGTGAGGGCATTGGATAAGGAACCATTTCATAAGGAATCCAGGGTCTGGACGACCGTGGAACTCAAATCGTGGATTGGCCATGGATATCACCACCGTCCTCACCAGATAAGGAAACCTCCAAGGTCTGCGGGTTCCTGGGCACATTCCTTAACCAACGCCCCCACCGTAGCTCTCCTGCGCCCCCTCTCTTCCTCCTCGTCGATCTTTCTCTCCCTGCGACTCCCCATCCCCCTGTTCTCTTCAACTTCACCATTCCCCTCCTCGCCCTTTGCCTGCTGAACATTCTCTCATTTAGGCAACTTGAACCTCTTCAAGTTACCACAGGAACCAACAAGCTATACAAGCATTAATTTCAGATGTTCGCGCGGTTTTCTAGGATTTTCGCGACTCTGCATTCCGCGCTTCGCACGCCAGGGAGGAGAGTGCAGCGCCGATCCAAGATATGCGCGCGAACCTCCAGAAGTTTACGCTTATGTCGATTATTTTATTATTTTTCTTCGTCTTCTAATCCCTCCTGCCCCTCCTCCTCCTCCTGCTCCTCCTCCTCCTCCTCCTCATTGTCCTCCTTGTCCTCCTCGTCCTCCTTCTCTTCCGGGCCGCCGAGGGTGTCGGGGGGACGTGAAGGTGGGGTAGGGGCAGAAGTGGCTCCTGGAAGAAGGAGATGTGCACATCCAACTGGGTCCGTTCCCTAACCCCACCTTGGGACACCCGACCTCTACGAATCCCTCAAGGTGGGGTACGGGTTTCGTCACTGACTCCTCCCGGCGCGACGAGCTCGTGACGGAAATGTGTCGGACGCTCTCGGCTTCTACTGAGATGACCGCGGCGGTTACTAAGGGCATATGAGGGTTTAGACGTGGATGCTACAAAGTAGGTCATGTATGACCTGCATACTCCGCTAAGTGGCCGGAACCAACTTGGCCCAGATCGATACCCCCCCCCTGAACCATTGAGAGGGTACCTGTAACACACTAGTAAACTAGGTAAGGCCAAATATAACCCACCTTAGCATCCGCTTCTAAGCCTCTTATCCCCCAAGCGACCCAGCGGTCATCGCAGTGGGGGCCGCCTCACTGCCCCAGGACGGTCAGGAAACAACTCCGGATGAAAAGCCAGCCTTGGGGAAGAGGTCGAGAGCCCAGGGCGGCCGTGCCAGGAAAAGAATGCGAGGGCGGAAGGAAGGGAGGGATCACTGGGAACCCAAGAACCCCAGAACCTCCCAGAGTCCCCTACTCCCCTCGCCGCGCCTCCCGTTCCGACACTGGACCAAGACGAGTCTTGGGTTGCGGTGTGGTGGGGGCGCCCCGGTAGGCCCAACAAGGCAACAGAACAGGACATCTAGGAACATCAATCATCGATCCTCGAGCCTCCTCCTCATCCTCCATCCTAGGGGCGCAAGTCCAAGAAGCAATTAGGTCCGATTTGGCGGATTAAGACAACTAAGGGCCACATTAAACCAAATCAAACCAAATTCGGCTGGAACAAACCAGATTCAGCCGTAATCAGCGAATTGGCAGGATTAGACCAGGGAGGCATTAGCACCGATGCTGAATTCCACCTCCCAGGAGTTGCAAACTCACCCCTCCCCCACTCCTGCTGGAAGTAGACGAGCACCTGTGACACGAAGAAGCTCAGCTCTGACCGCATTGCCCACGGCAGCAGCTCGCCGCGGGGAAGGGATGCGCGCAGCAGCTCCTGAAGGCTTTTCGCCACCGCTGTCGGTCGTGCGACGGCATGGTGGTTGTTCTCCTCGTCGCCGTCATCGTCATCATCCTCGTGCCCGTCATCGGTAAGACCGTCATCGCCGCCCGGCTTCGTCGTCCTCGTCGTCAACATCGTCACTGTCCTCTCCCTCAACAGCGTCGCAGCCGTCGCCGGTGAAGGAGGAGGAGGAGGAGGAGGAGGAGGAGGAGCTGGTGTAGATCTCCTAAGATACTCGGATGTGTTCGAGGAAGACCATGTCTCTCTTCAGTCATCGTATTGCGGTAACGACCATTGAACAGCACCCAATTCATATCATGTTTGGCTGAGATGTCTGCCGAGGGCCGAAGACAAAACGAAGAACCGACATCACGGCTTCCCCCGGGACAAGCTCCTTCTCGTGAGCCGTGTTTTGACACTCCTGGAGCCCGAGGAATGCCCCGAGGGTCCGAAAACGGAGAGCCTCCAGGACCCGTGCCCCTCAGGACCGCGCTTGCTTCATAGCGAACGCGGGGAAACCAAAGGGTACCGATACCGCCACTCCCCCGACCTCTCCCAGGGTGCGTTCTGACCAGAACTTCGATACGAATCCAGCGGTGGCGGCGAGGGCCGCCCAGGAGGCCCAACAGGGGGAAAACGAGGGAAGGGTAGCGGTATGGGTACCTTTTCCTCCTCTGAGAACGCATCAACATCGTTAGACCCATGCCCATCCTCGCTGAGAAAGCCTTGGCCCCGCTGTCCGGACCGCCCCCCCAGGTGGAATGGACGCCCTGCAGGGCTTCGCGGCATCCAACCCCACCTCGGAGGGGGCAGGCTGGCGGCACAGAGAAGCCATGGCCCAGTGGGCTTTGGCAACGGGTCCCACGATGCGCTGGCAATCACATGAACGAAACGGGTCCTCGGGGAAACGGGTCCTGGATCCCTTGGCTTTCCCTCTGGACGAATTCCTCCTCCTGAGTCGTTGTTGACCTGTCCCGTTGAGCTGTCCCGGCGCCTGGGGAGGGCCCCGAGAGCCCGAACATCGAGAAACAAATCCAGAACCCGTGTCCCACAGGACCGTCTCTGCTCCATCACAGCGTGCGTCGGCATTCCGCCGAGAGGCTCCAGCTGCACGTGCCGGAAGGCCAGCAGCAGCTTGAAGAGGCGGTTGTACCGCTCCATGCTGGCCTCCAGGAGGCGGCCGGACAGGTGTGTCCCCGCGCGCGTGGAGGACCGCCGGCAGCGGGCAGAACAGGATCCAGCGGGGAGGATTACCCCGTGCACCGATGAATCCTCGATCAATCGCCCCTCGATCAATCGATCGAGGACCGATCGGTGACTGGGGCCACGATCCTCGATCGATCCTGGGTCGATCCTGGGTCTATCCTCGAACCTCGATCGATCCTTCAGACGCACGGCGCGGGCGCGGCAGCAGCGGCAGCGGCGCCGCGGCCGATGGCTGCGCGCGAAGCGCAGCTCTGACTCACGCGCTCTCGCTCGGCCCCGACTGGAGAAGGGCATCTCTTCGGACCAGCCTGCGAAGCGCGCTTGCCTTCGTGCTCCTGCGGGTGGCGTTCACGAGCGGCGAGCATATCCACATCCACACCCTCGCCTCGCGGTCTGGACTCCAAGGTGCGATCCCGTGGATACGCGGTCGCAGGAATACGCTCCGCGCGGGGCATCTGCGAGTTAAGTACAAGTACCCATGGGATCGCAGCCCAAGGGCCTACCCCGTGAGGGCGTGGATACGGACACGTTTCCCTCCCACGAGACCCTATCTTGGCGTCGCATTCGTTCACGACGGGTCGGTTTTGCATTGTCTAGGGCTCCAGGACCATCACGGACCGTCACCAGGGCAGCCATGAACGATCTGGGCGGCACTGCGCAGAGTCAGCCTGCGCTGAGGCGTGGGACCTCTGCGCGGCGTCGTGCGCTTACGACCCGCCTGCGAAACAGGTGGCCAGAGATCACGCCAGCCAGCCGTCCATTCGTATGTCCAGCGAACCCGGTTACTTGGCACGATGACGCGGGGCCAAAGGCCACGACGGGGACTGACCGCCGCACCACCTGGCCTGCACGAGCAGGAGGGGCCGGCCCGCAAAACGAACAGCTGGGACACCAGCGGTGCCGCCCACGAGCTCTCGTACGCAGCGGCGAACGCTCATGCGGGTGCAGAGAACCATACAACCCGCCTTGATTGGACAGGACACGCGAGAGGACACAATACCCTTCCGAGGGCCACATCGCCATAGGAATGTAAGAAGGCACGCGTCGCGAGGCACAGGACACAAGGGTACCCTTGAGCTGGCAGGGTCGACCTACCAATTCGGGCCGACCGTACCGGACTCGATCGGCGCAAGCGAATCGAGGTGGGGAAAATGCATCGTGGACTTCGTTAGTGCAAGCTGTAGCAGTACGCGTCCGGAAGTACTCGCCCAGCAGTCGTTGGGCTTGCGAGGCTGCCCCCCCCCCGCTCGTGCGACTCCAAGAAACATTAGAGAAGCCTGCGGACTTCGCAAGAGCCCACCAGGAATCCTTCAGGGATCCAAATAATATCTCTGCCCACAGGAAAAACCCGGCGCCGCCCTTGCGCACACCCAGGGTTGAACCGACAATTATTGCGGCGGCGACCGCGTTGCCAGGGCGTCCCGCTGCAGGGGTCGTTCGGCCGTCCGCGCCAGGGCGCCCAGCTCCGCAAAGGAAAAATTTCTGGCACGGAAACGCTGATATTTTTGTCGGGCTCCAGCGGCGCCCCGAAGGCACGCCACACAGGGGGTGGGGGGCCTGCCCGGGCGAGCCCTGACGTCAAAACCCCACCAGGGCGGGCGATTGGCACCGTCTCTGCCCCAAGCAAGCGGGTGAAAATTGGATCATTGGAGGTTTTTCAACGAGTTCGACCGCCCAGAGGTTGCCGCAAGCCGCTCCAGCGCTCAGAACAGTTTCGCAACGTGGGCCGAAGCCCTCCTATGCGGACCCCAAATGACCAAAAACGCTCTCAAGACGGTCTTAAGACAACCCACCATGGACCCAGTACTGCCTTCAGACGGCCCGAACAATTTCCACTTCCTGTCTTCAATGTCGTTTTGCACGCTGTGGCGCGCTTCGGACCCACATGCAGTCGTTGAAATGTTGGCACCCGAGGCGCAGCATTCCCGAAACCTATACGCGCCCCTGAACCGAGAGCCCTTCATCAATAATTCCGCAGGTGTGCCCGATAGCTACGCGCGAACATTCTCGAAAACTGGCTGGAACGCTCCGAATCGAACACGCAGATGCTGGAAAAAAGCCTTTGTAGTGCATTGAAGTTATCCCATGCGTTCTGAAGGGCTTAACGATCGCAAGAGTGATTACAAGGTGCCCTGGCAAAAAAATAGTAAGAGCAACTCACCATAACTCCAACCGACATGGAAAACCACATTACGAAGTGTGCACACGTGTGCGCGTTCACCTGCCTGCTCATCAAGACGAAAAGTAAGTCGGCGAATGCAGCGCCTGTGTGTGACTTTTTGTGGGTCCAGTACCTAGCCCGCCATAGTCAAACTCGCCGAAAACTTAGCTTGCCCGGCGCGGTTTAAACAAACATCGTCTGCGTTTGCATGCATCGGCCCAGTCTGCCTAGGCGTGCATTGGTTTGGCTTCGCCTAACTCGCCGATGGAGCTGAGCCTGGCTGTGCTTTCAGCACAATGGTTTAGAATTGTCGAATAGGTAGCCGCTCTGCACTTCGTCTGGCGCGGCAGCGATGGGGACGATCACGGCTAGCCTACCGCGCTTCCTCTTACCTCCCGCCTCCCATCTCCTCATCTCCCTGCAGGGCAGGCAAGCTTGGGCACGACCGCGTTCTGTCGAGCCACGCCGTGAGCCCATATGTAATCGGTTGCACGTTGCGGGCGACGACCGCGCGACCAGCGCTCAGTGCAGCATGGCTCGCGCACCGAACCAAAAAAAAAGTTCGGTCTCGGGTGTTGACTCTCGCAGATCGCAGCCGGGCTAAGCATGGCCTGGTGTGGGCTGGGCTTGTGGGCAATACAGCCCGGCGCTGGTGTCCGAGAAATGTCCTCGGCGGCCCTGGCCGCTCCGTGTTGAAAGGCGGGAAAAGGGGGGAGGAGCAGCGCGACAATTTCCCCCTGATGAATTATAGCGGACCGGTGGTTTCGTGCCCAGGATGACAATCGATGACACATCACGTCTTGCAGTGCCACTACATTCATCCGCAATGCGATCGCCACAAGGTGAAACGCACAATGCACGGATATGCTTAGAGATTCCGCTACTGCTTAGGGGAACACTCTCCCAACAAAGTGTGGCCCTTCTCCCACCCGCCAGAACCTACTGATACGAATTCTAACCAAAACGTGTCCGCCAGAGCGGGCTGGTGCCAGGTAGGAACCCTGATGGCACCAGCGGCCGACCCCCCAATCCAGCAAGGATTCAAGCGGGGGGGGGGAAAGGAGAAGAGGGGGAAGGGGGGCGAGCGGAAGTGAAGCGAAGTGACAGCGTGATGTTGGCTCTGTGTGTGCATCCCCACATGGTCCAGACGACCACCCACATAAAAGGCAGCACACAGGCGGAAGAACAGTGAACAGTATTGAGTGCAGGTTGCAGCCCAACATGCCCCGCGACTGCTAGCAAGGGACGGGCTCCCAAGGAGGTCCACACGACCGCAGCACGGGAGGCGGAAGCAAAAAGAGACAGAACGACAACAAGAATGAGGCGGTCGAAAAAGGAACGGAGGGAGGCGGAACAAAACAGCGAAAACGCGGGAGGCTCACCAGTAGGCAATCAGCAGGGCATACAGGTAGCTGTAGCGGGAGTTCTGGTACCCGACCTGGAGGGGTGGAGGTCGAAGGGCGCCTAGACACGGGTACCGAGGCACCGGTAATCCCAGGGGCCCGGCTGCGCAACGCCCCTCGCCAGGATCTTGCATTGAGTTCCACTGATGGTGCGGGAGGCGTAGATGTAGCTGGAGCCAGAGTCGGAGCCAAGGTCGGGCATGGTCAGAACTAGAGTCATGGTTTGGAATTGCGCAGCAAGAGAACTGGGGGAAAAAGGTTGGTCGATGCGGTGACGCGCCTGCTCGGGCAGTTTTTCGAATGCTTTGAGACAGCATGTAAGACACCGTGCGTTGCATGATGCTGCGCAGGAGACGTAGGCATGGCTTCGTCGTCGCATAACTCCGCATGCCTCACCACACTAACCTGTTAATAACGTTTGTGACCATGCTGCCACGGTGCGCATGTGAATCGAAGTGCGCGGCGCGAGCTCATCCTCAGGCGATGTTGCGTCGAGGCAGAATGCCCCGGAGCGCAGAAAACGCTCGCCGTCGTGGCAACACGGCGCGGGGTGAGTTCCAGAGAACGTGGATTCAGCTGTTCTGCAGCAAGGACAAGAGGGGCGGATTGACCTCCGACGGCGGAGTCAGTTCCCCATATGAAAAATAGAGAATAAGTTTTGGACAGCAATGAGCATCTACTACCTGGAGAGAACCTGGGTGTTGGCAAAACCCTACCCTGCAGTCGCCGGACTCCATGCAGTAGGATTATGCAGCACCTTTGTTTTTAAGGGGATTGACACAACTTTAGGGGCACCATTGTACACACAGCTACCTGTCATGTATGTTTGTAGATATGCATGAGTATGTATGTATGCACATCTACTGTGTTGGTACACAGGCCAGGCATTCACATTAACTGCTTCCTCGCGTTTGTAAAGTATCGCGCAAACAGCAAAATCTGATCTGCCGACACAGTGTTATGATGGAGTGGTTCGCAAAGGGGTACTCTGCTATGGACCTGGAACCTTCATGGGAATGGGACCTTATTGGGCACGTCTAATTGGAAGGCCTCAATCGTGCAACCTTGAACTTCACGTACGCATAGACACTATCCCCCCCCTCGCCTCGCCCTCCACCTCCCCCCCCTTATCCTTGTCTGGTACGTATAGCGGTCCTGGACCCAGGAGGGGCCTGACTCGGCTGGGCGCAGGCGCACGCTGCTGCATCATGATTGGCGCCCTCCGCAGCGGGGCCTGCGTGATGACCAGGGGCAACGGCCAGGGCGCGTCGTAGCTGAGTTCCATGGCCTCGGGGCCCAGCCAGGCGACCAGGCCGACAGCACCCCACGATCGTGCGGTCGGAGAGCGGCCTGGTCATGCCGCCTCCCTCCGCGGTCATCACAGCGATCACAAGCCCCTCACTGTGATCGCGGTCGGGTGGTCACCCAAATCACCCCCACAAGACCTCCCGTGAAGCGCGTTCAGACCACGATTTCGTGTCGAACCCAGCCAAGCCGCAAGAACACGCACATATACGCATCGAGACAAGACTCCGACGACGCGGCGACCACTGTGGCCGCTGGCCGAGGATCACGTGATCAGCAGACGCTGCGCCCACGACGGAGAACCACGCGTCCCTCATGACCAGCTCCTTGTTGTCCTGCTGATGGTACAGGGGGGGGGCGTTGCACCCATCAATATGGTACACCCTACCTGATGACAAGGCAGGATGCGGAATAGCTGGATGAGGGTACGTGAATATCGAGAATCTCTGAGGGCCGTCCGGTATGGAGGGCGTATCCGGCGCCGCAGCCGTTCCAGAGCACTCCGGAAAGTTCTGAGAGCGTTCCAGCACGAGTTGTCCTCATCCTACGCCTGCCTGGCTACCCTCCTCAGCGTGGCAGATACATATGAGGATCGCTCACCCTGTGCTCCTGATATTAATCCCCTGGGGATGGTAAAGTCAGGGATCCAAGGGGGATAGTAAACGTTTCCCCCGAGATCGCAGCATAATGATGAAGATGATGACGATGCTGATGATGATAAAGATGATCCTGGACGCTCCATAGGAATCCGTACGAAGTCCTTAGGATTCCTCGGAAATGCATCGAATTCCGCCGGAAATCCTTAGAACTCCTTCGGACATTTATTGGGTGCCTAAGGACATCCATCGGATTCCTTAGGAAATGCCCAGGACTCCTTCGGACATCCAAAGGATTCCTGAGGAGATCAACGGGAGGAGGAGGATGAGGAGGAGGAGGAGGAGGAGGAGGAGCCCCAGGACCAGTTCCCCCCCCCCCAAAAAAAAATCCAGAACCTTAGGTTTTTTATTTGTAAACCTAAAGTCTTTTCAAGCGTTTTCAATGGCGCACGTGTAGGAAGTCCATGGCGGCTCGTTTCCCTGTTTTTTGGTTTCCTGTTTTTGCTGAAAAAGTTTGGGGCAGGCGCGCCAGGAGGAGAATGAAGAGGATCCCTTAGATCGTCCATCGGATTCCGCAGAAAATCCAGAGTGTTCCGCAGGACAATGCATAGGATCCACTTGTAGAATCCCATCGGAATTCCAAAGGAGTTCTTATGACATCGATCGGGAACCTTGGGACATCCATAAGAATCCGTAGGCAAACCGTAGGAATGCTCAGGAATCCTTGCTACGCAACATAAGAAGAGAGGCACTTCAATTCGCAACTTCCCCCCGCGATAATCAAGTTCGGTCTTGCCGCCCCTTTTTTCCGGATCAGATCTGCATTGGCTTGGGATAATAAGCTCCCAGGGGTTACGGGGGGTGGCTATTTATCATCAGGGGCGCTCGGTTATGAACACAAACTTTCAGGGGTCCGCGTGGATTTCTTGGATCGGCGCAGCATCCCCCCCCCCGCTTACGCGAGCGGGGCGCGCCAGGGACGGCGCCAGTGGCGCCACCAGGGGATTGGGCCAGTGCCGACGCAAGACATCAGGTGATTGGCAGCTGGGCTTCTGAAACTCTGGACTGGTCCGCCGACGTCTTCGACCACCTTTGCCCGCCCATGGGCGCCTCGTGCTCTGGGTGGGGCCGCCGAGGTCTTCGCCACATGCCCGCCCGTGGACGCCTGGCGGGGCCGCCTGGCGGCCGGGACCCGTGGAGCGGCCCGGGAGCCCGAAGACCGCTGAGAACATGTCCGACGCGGGGGGGGGGTCCCCCGCGCCAGCCCAGCCGTTTGTTCTGACCGACGAGGCCTTGGCCCTTTTCGCCCGGGCCCGCCCCGCAGCCAGTTCCGGGGGCACGGGCGCGCGGGCCGTTCTAGAAGCCGAAGCGCTCCCTGGCGGAGTCCCCCGCCTCGCCACCACTGCGCCGAGGGCAACGCAACGCGCGGCGCCGCGGGGCATGTTCCACTGCCCCCGCCTGCGCATGCCACGCCTTGAAAGGGAGAAGCGAGCTCCCCACCGACCGACGTTTGCTCTCGGTCATGTCCATCTTGACGCGCGCCTGGGAAGCGCCAGCTTACCGCGAGGAGAGCCCACTGGCCCCCCCATTAGCTTCGGCGCGGCACCGCGCGCCGCGACGTGGGGGCGACTGCACGACCCTGGCGCCGCAGGTCGAACGCGCGCGCCACCTCCGAGCCCCCCTTGGCAGGGGCCGCGCTGGATCGGCAAAGAGGCATCGATCACCTCATCGCGGACATCTACCTCAGCCCAGCGTTGCACGCTGAATGTCCGCCCGAAATCGTGCAAATCAGGCGACCTTTCTACGATGACCACCGGAGATGTATTCGCACGGGGGGAGTTTACCCTGGCCCCCTGGCGCCCACAAACGGGCACTTTCAAAGCAGCTCTTTCTCCATTGACGACACCAAGCTCCTCGCGCGCGCACGGGCCAAGCGATGGCGCGGGCACGTGACTCGCTCATTGAGCACATTCTTCGTCGACGACAGCTACTCCGCGGCCCCCGCTGCCAGATGACTCCAAATGTCACTCAACGGGACCGCCCTCTTCGACCAGTTGGAGGAGGTCAGGTAGGTAGAATTTGGCGAACCGTTCCCCATGTCCAGTGGAGCTGGGCAGCGTGCGGCACGATGTACGACGACCAGTGCACTCCCCCTGTCGTGGCTCTACCTGCCAGCGGGCACGCGCTCCGTGCGTAACAGAGAATGTCTGTGCTGTGACGCATCCCTACCGCCAGGCACGACCTGGGCGCCGTCGCTGTCCAACAGGGCCTCGGCGACTTCTCCAATGCGCGGCTAATCAGGGCCCGTTTCCGCACCCCCGACGCCTCGTTTTTGAAAACTGCCCGGGCGAAGGACCTAACCATGCTGTGAATACAGTCGTTGCGAGTCTCGCGTTCGGATCTCCTCGTGGGGCCACGAAGCGTGTGGTGTGCCGAAATGGGGCGAGGTCGTCATGCGGGCGCTGCCACTGGGGCCTGAGGTAGAGCCCACCACTTTGTCATGAAACATGTGATGGGTGTGCCGAAATAGGGCGTGGCCGCCGTGCGAACGTCGCCACTGGGGCCTCAGGTGGAGCTCCCGATGGGGCCACGAAGCGTGTGAGGGGTGTGCCGAAACGAGCGTGACTCCCACATCACATGCGAACGTCGCCACTGGGGCCTTCGGTGAAGTCCCCGATGGGGCCACGAAACGTGTGAGAGGTGTGCCGAAACGGACGTGACGCCCACATGCGAATGACTCCACTGGGGCCTTAGGTGGAGCTCTTTCTGGGGCCATGAAACGTGTGAGGGTCGTGCCGACATATGGCGGGGCAGACACACGCGAACATGGCCGCTGGAGCCTTGGGTGGAGCTCCTGATGGGGCCATGTGACATGTGAGGAGTGTGCCGAGATGGGTGAGGCGGCCACATGCGAACATGGCCGCTGGGACCTTAGACAGAGCTCCCTACGGGGAAAGGTGTCCAGAAACGGGTGGGGCGGCCACATACGAACCACTGGGGCCTTAGGTGGAGTCCCCTTTATGGGGCCACGAAGCGTGTGAGGGGTGTGCCGAAATGTGCGGGGCGGCCACATGCGAGCATAGCCACGAGGGTCTTAGGTGGAGCTTCCCATGGGGCTATGAAACGTGCAAGGGGGCTGAAATGGTTGACATGCGGAGGGCAGCGGCAGGAATGGGAAGAAGAGGAGAGGAGAGGCCGCGGGGCGCTGTCTCATCAAAACGGGCACCCAACACCACAGGATGGTTGGGACGAAAAACGCGGTCACCCCCCGACCGCTTCCCTGGGACCGGATCCTCATACTGATACGTTTTTGAAGGTCACGAGGCCCGCTGAGGGCTCCAGGAGGCTGAAAGTATAACATAACCCTCCGTCGTGATTACTGCGCAACGAGAGGCTGCTAGGGTTTCTCTCAGGAGCCACTTCAGGAGCCACTTGCTTCATGGCAATCCTCCCTCCCTGGCCCAGAGATCCCGACCCCTTTCCCGGGGCGAGATTCCCGCCCAGGTTCCACTTTTCCGCCGAAGTCTAGGACCAACGGCGATACTCCAAAAAGGCATACGGCCATCGCGTACAATAAGGGTGCACGACATCACAAGGACGCAAGGGCCTCGGAAGGCCATGCCTGCGCTTTTCGAGCGGGGCGCGGCAAGCGAAAGTGGCCAGGGATGGGCCGAAGGGGACGGATGCACGCGCAACCTTGGAAAACCGCAAATCCCCACTACAACCGAAAATATGATCAAGAAAACTGTTAACATATCTGGGCTAACTTCCCAGAAGTGGAACAAGCCTGGGTGAGTGTTCGTGTTAATGCTGGAGGGGCGAACGTGCTCAAGAAACTGGGCCAGCCTATCTGCAAGTTGGTCAAGAAACGCCGTCCCAACCTCTCGGGAAGAAGCTTCTTAATCAGATGCTCGACTGTATCCGTGCTGACTGTATCGTCGGAGATCCGAGGGGGCCATGTCTCCCTCCAGGACCCGCGTGCCTCCATGCGTCGCCCTCCCGGTGGCCGGTCCTGCGCCCGGCGCCGCGCGCCGCCCTGCGCGGGCGCGGAGGCCGCGTCGGCAGCCGTGCGCAAGGCGTCCATGGAGTGGCGCCAGGAGACGATGGAGACTGGCGGGCGGCGGTGGCGGGCGGCGGCGGGCGGCGGCGGCGGCGACCTCTCCCAGAGGGGGGCGCCCCGGACAGACCTTCCGAGGCGGCGGCGGCCTCCTCCGGGCGAAGGCGGCGCCGGCGCCGTCGCTCGGGCAGGAGGGCCGCGCGGGCCCCCCTGCAGGACAGCACGGTTCCACGGCAGCGGGGGGGCGGGAGACGGGCCCAGCGAGGGGGGGCACCCGTCGAGCTCACATCGGAGAAGCATCGACGCCGGAGCGGCGACGAGCCCCCGACGGCGGATCCGAAGGGTTCCTGGCGATGGGTGGGCTGTCGGCCCCACGGGCGATGGGTGGGCGATCGGGGGGTCGAGGCGTCCCCCCCCCGGAGCCTATCCCTCCCTGCCGCTGCTCCTGCAGGGAGGAGTCCTGGATGGGTGTGGCCACGTTCGTGTGGCATGAGGAGACCTGGGAGAGCAAAGACGATGTTATCCTCGACGCGCCGCCGTGGGGAGGCCATCGGCGTGTTACTGTTCCAGGAGCACCCAGTCTTCGGACGACAACGAGAAGCAGCACTCTGACAGGCTCCAGACGGCGGCGTGCCATTGCCATCCTTCTCTCGGCGGTGGACAAACCTCCCTTGAGCAAATCCCCCTTTAGTGAAAACGGCCTGGGACCGAAACCGACGGACCTGGACCCGCGAAAATGACGGCCGCGACGCGCCCTCTCGCGAACCGACAACGGCCAATTCGCTAATCGACGTGTCAGGGTAAGAGGTCTGTCCACCCCCGATTCTTCCCACCCGGCAAGCGGGTGCTGGAGGAGAGGCCTGGACCTTTTCCGGCGTCCTAGGAGGGCGCCCCTGGGGCCAGCCCACGGGCCCCACGCCCCGTGGTGAGGAGCTGCGGATAGGGGGGGGGGATTGGGGCCAAGACGATGGTTCTTTTGTTTGTTAAAAAACATGTTTAAAAAAAGACTACAAGAAAGTATTGGGGCGGCCAAGAAGGCGATGGAGGCTGGCAGGCGAGGGCATTGCCGCCGTCCCATCAGATCCAGGCGGCGAGCCACAAAAATGCGTGTACTCGTCCACTGGAGGCTGCCTCCTGGCCCTGGGCCCGTCAAAAAACAGATCAGGATGATACGCCCTGGCGTTTGCCAAGCAGCCCTGCCCCGTTCGATTTCCTACCTGGGTGCGTTCCATCGAAGGGCTTCCACGGAGGGGTGCTTATTCGTACTTTTCCGGTTGGAGTAGATGCTCTAGCCACGCGGCGCGCATGAAAATGATCCGCGATACGGGAAACTGCACTGAAGGCGCGCGCCACATCCGTTCGCAACAATGAAAACCACCCTGCGTCTATAGCTGATCTAGACTACCAGACTGGGTGAAAACTGCATGTGGGCACCTGGCAAACACTTACAAGCGGATCAAAACAACGTGCAAACTGCCCAGGCATCGCTCACATGAATAGTCACTAGATGGCATGCGTAAGCAACCTCTAGATCCGCAGAAAAACACGCATGCCCCAATGGGCTAAAAGCGTATGAGATTGCCGCACAGGTAGCCCAAAACTGTCAAAGCCGCTCCCCAGGAGGTCTCAAAAAGCTCCTCAGATGCCCCCAGGAGGCCTCTAGAAGCCTCCCAGAGACCCCCTGTATTCCCCCCACGATGCTCCGAAGACCCATGAAGGAATATCTAAATTTCCGTATCGAGCGTTCGGAGTTCGATGGCGAGACTTGGGCGGGAGCGTGTTATGGTGAGCGTTGCACTCAATATACCGAGCGCCTGCTCCTCTCCCCGCGAGCTTCCTGCGACATATTGGGGAAGCTACTACCACTCCACGACTTCTCAAGTCTGACAAGCACACAAGCACATGGCAGGGACGATACAATTTGGACAGGCGGAATGCGAGAGGCGGTTGAACGACATTTCAAGCAAATTATCCCCATGTAAGGAGGAAGGACACATCGAATTCGCCTTAAGCAAAAAATTGGTCCCCGTCAAGACGGGTGAAATGACACATTAAGAATTGTCCTCGAGCGTACGCCCTGGTAGTGGAAGGTCCACTTGGAAAAGCCCACTTGGAGCCTATCAGCCGACATACGATCAGCACCGATCACGCTGGCGCATGTCTCAAGCCTTCACGCTTGAAACTCGGAGCTTGTCCACGACGGCGCTGTCCATGTGAGTCAGCCTCGAATCCCTCGCCTGCAGCAACACGACGCGCGGCTCCTGAGGCGCCTGCGCCGCTGGGCGATGGGAGCTGAGGGCCGCCCCACACACGACCAGCCCGAGCCCAAGCAAGCGCGCCGGACCGAGCGCGGCCGTGGCGCCCTGAGCCGCGTCCAGCGCCGCCGCCGCGACGAGCTGGCCGCAGAGGCTGAGCGTGAATGTCGTGGCGAGGCCAAGCCTCTTGCTCAGGACCTTGGAGGAGCAAAAAGCTGCATAGGCATACGTAAACTTCTGGAGGTCTGCGTGGATTTCTCGGATCGGCGCTGGACCCCCCTTTGTGGCGCCTCCAAAGGCACCGCCCCTGGCGCGCGGAGCGTGCCAGGGAGGAGGGCCTGGCGCCGATCCAAGAAATCCGAGACCTCCAGCAATTTCTGTTTGTGCCGTCTCTGCTTCTGCGAGGCCTGCATGCTGCGAAGGAAGAACGCCCCCTGCAGGCCCTCGAAGAGCCAAAGGTGCGCGTGCCCCGCCAGCACCGGGAAGTCGAGCGCGCCGCCGCCCGCGCTCCCGGCGAGCAGCCAGAGCAGCGCGACCTGCACCGCCGCGCTGACGGCCTGGCACACGACGGCCGCCGTGGCCTCGGCCTCGTCGCCCGCAGGCTTGCCGAACTCGTCCGGCTGCGGCGCGCTGAGCCGCGCCTGCAGCACGTAGCCGGCGCCGCTGGCGGCCGTGCCCGCCATGCACGCCAGGAAAACCGGCCCCAATGCGGTGCCGGCGCCGAGGCCGCCAGCGCCGCAGAAGGCTGCCACCGCCACGCCAGCCAGCACGGCGCCGGCTCCCAGCAGGCGCTGGCGCAGGCCGTCGCCCTTGAGCTTGCCGCCCAGGGAGTCCAGGGACAGCGCCGTACACAGGGTCGTCAGCTTCAGCATCATCTGCGTGAGGCCCAGCCCGAGCACCTTGGACGTCATGATCAGCGAGGCGGAGGGCACCGTGCACACCCCGGCCAGCCACGGTCCCCAGGACCTGGGCATCGCCCGCCATGAGGCGAACGGCGCCAGGCACAGGGCCGAGAGCACCATGGCCCTGGAGGCGACGTGGACGCTCGCGAGGAAGGGCTCCATGCCCACCGCCACGCCGGTGAGCTCCACGCTGCACCACATCCGCGCCGAGACGGACGCGCCGACCAGCAGGGCCCACGCCATGAGGCCCCTCTGCCCCGCCTGGTCGGCGCCTGCGGCGGCGGCCGCGCCTGCGGCGGGGCGCACACCGCCGGCCGCAGGCGCGGCCGGCGCGCGCGCCGGCGGCGCCGGCGGCGCAGGGCGCCGCAGGCCGTCGGGGGGCCCGCCGGCGCCTGCGGCGCCCCTCGCGGAGCAGGGCCGTGGCGCCCGCGCCCGCGAGCACGCACGCCAGGCCCCCGGCGCCAGCGGCGGCGCGCGGCGCGGGCGGGCGGCCCGCTGCGCGGTCGGAGTGCGCCCCCGCGCGCAGCACGAGGGCGCGCGCGGGGGCGCCGCCGCGCGGCAGCAGCCGGTCGGGCGCACACGGTGCGCCCCGCGGGAGTTCGGCGCCCAGGAGCAGCAGCATGGCCGGCGCGGAGGCTCCCAGCACTGGCGCGTCGCGCATCGACCAGCGGGGCTCCTGCGGTTCTCCTGCGCTGGGCCGGCCTTCGCGGCCAAGGGGTATCTTGAGCCAAAGAGAATGGCTGCGCACGCTGAGGCTTGACCAACAACAAAAGCCTGGCATCCCCTCGCTGTGGGGCATCACGGACTTATCATGCAAATGATCGATCTCCCGGGGCCTTCCGGCGCCTCGCAGGGACCGTCAACAAAACCAGTAAGAATGAACAACCGGTCCAGGGGAAGTGACCCAGGTCTCTGGGGAGCCACGTTGCCAAAAAAGACGATGTCGGATGTCCGGGCCGACCTTTGCAGCTGCACACAAGCCCACACCACCCTCTGACCACGAGTCAAGAGAGGACAGCACACCCCTTCACTGGCGCTTGCTGCAAAGGCTTGTGCGTTTACCAGGCAGTCCTGCCCCGCTCGCTATCCCATCCGGGCTCGCTGACCCATCTGGGCCTCGCCTGCAGCGGTGCGCATTCGGCGGGTGGTCCTTCTGCCCTCGACCGCCGAGGGTCGACACGGGCACCCCCTCGGGCAACACAGCCCTCACCGAACGGTGCGGGGTCAACTGGTGCGCGCGGCACCGCGTTCCGAGATCCCGCGCGCACCCGACTAGAGCAGCCGACCGACGTCCAGACCCTTCCGGAAGTTATCAGGGAAGGCACTCGTCGATTCGAGAAGAAGGCCGACGGGCCAAGACGCCCGACGGCACATTTTTGTTCACGGCGCCGACCCCGAAAGGCCTCGACCCAGTCCCCATAAGCGGCTTTTCGTCCTGTACCGTTCGTTTACTCGACGAGCGCGTTCCACTACTCGCAAAGTAACTACTCGCAAATGGCCTGGATTCCCCGCGGCGGATCTGCGATAAATTACATCGAAGCAGACAGGTGTCGTTCGGACGTTTGCGAGTAGGCACTTTGCGAGTAGCGGAACGCGCTCGGCGATTTACGGTCCCTCAGCTCGGCGAGGGCCGCCAGAGGCCGACAATTAGGAAAAGCCGCCCGTCGTAATTCTTGTCATGACCCGAGGGGGCCTGGGTAGACCGAGGGGGCGGGGGGCTGCACCTGTACACCGACAGTGCCAACGTCGAGAACGGGAACGTACAGCGGGCAAGGGGAGGGAAGAAGAGGACTCCTGAGCGGCCACGATCCCCCCCGCGGTCTGAAAAAATCGCCCTCGGGGGCGCGTCCACGCGGGGGGTCTCGCAAATCATGGCCAGTGGCATGTGCGAACGGGGGGGGCCAGGGGGCGCATTGAAAGAAGAAGACTACAGCAATGCAGTCATACACCCGGGGGTGCGTAGGACACTGAGTCCCCATGCAAGAGGCACGTGGGCGCCTCAAATGCGTCCTCGTTTGAAATCAGATGGAAGCGCCACTCTCGCAAACTTGAAGCACTGAATGGGCGGAGGGAAGGGGGGCGGGGGGGAGGGGAGGGGAGGGGGGGGACAAGCTAGGTGCGCTCGCGTCATATCTGACGTCCTACCCCTCCCTCCCATCCCGTACCATGGCGTAGATCTCCTCTCTATTCGCACAATCGGATGTCGCAACATGGCATAGCATTACATGGCGTAGAATGGTGTTGAAGATCAACGCGTAGCATGACGTGGCGACACCCCCAAGTGGACTTTCTCCGGCCCGAAACATCAATGCATCGACACCAAATGTGTAATCACTTCCGATGGTTTGTTCGGGAGGCCATTCTCTATATTTTGGGGCCTATTTGGAAGGACCGAAAGCCATGCCGCGGCGTGGCGCTGGAAATAACGACGCCAACGCTGCAGCGGGAGCACGAATCGGAACGGGCGGAAGCGAGGAAATGAGGCCAGCGCTGCAGCGGGAGCATGATTCGAAATGAGCGGTAGCCCGAAAATGAGGCCAGCGCTTCAGCGAGAGCAGCATTTTGAAAAAACAACAAAAAAAACCCAAGCAAACCCAACTGCCGGGAATCCTGTGTAAAAAAACCCGTGCGCGAAGGGGGGCCGGGCATTCCCCGGACACCACCAGGGTGTGTCGCTGTAATGGAAGGGGAGAATCAGGGGGACGTAAGACCTGGGCACAGGGGACTCGGAAATCCCCGACGAGGTCGTCAAAAAAATGACGAGGCCGAGCCTGCATTTTGACGAGGCCTCCCGCTGCAGACATCCCACGAAACTCCTCCTCGTCAAAATCCGAGGCGCGGTCGTCAAAAAACGATGGCGAACCCGAGTCCTGGCAAACCCGGGTCTTACGCTCCCCCGAGAGAAGGGGGGACCATACGACATTCTGCTAGTCGGCACAGCGCAGCAATTGCTTTCAAGCGATGTCTGAATGGATCTGACGCTCCAAGGGTTGCAGGCTGGAGGCACAGGATCGGGCCATGACATCCGCGAAGTCGTCGTGGCCTCCACTGGCCACCAGCCCCCTCCTGGCCTGAAGTCGGGCCTGCCCCTCTACAGGGGGAATCTTCAAAAATAGTCAAACAATAGTCTGGGGATTTTTTTATATATTTCACCAGTTGGGAACATTTGTTTTCATTTATTTTTTTGACCAAAAAAATTCGTTCAACACCCCCCTGAAAGGGGACACGCCCGACTTCATCTTGGCCCCCCCCCGGCGTCAGAGGTCACGGGAGGGAGGCCGGAACCCTGCCTGGCTGGTCCAGCGCCTCGCGCCGCGGCGCCTGCGCCACGGGCGTGCCGGCCGAGGGGCCAGCGACCACCTCCGCGCGGGGGCCGCCGCCGGCCAGACACCCACCCAGGTCGACGTGAGCCATGGGGCCCCTGCCGGGCCCCCGTGGGGCCGTCGAGGAACGACCCAGGCAACCTCTGACACGTCGCCGCGCCCGGTGTGCTCAACGCGCCCAAGAAGACGAGGCCGACACCCTGGCAGAGCCACGGCAAGCCTGGCGTCCGAGGCGGAATTCGCCGCGGTGGCCGAGGCGCCCTTCTCAAGGCGTCAGCCCGCGCGTTGGAACAGACGGCGCGGCGACGTGTGAAGTTTCAATCCGCGGCCCCGGGGCTCCTGGCCACTTCCGCAGGAATGGCTCTGCGTGCCTGGTCCACTTTGGGCTGCCTCGCGGACCCGAAAGCGACCCCCAGATGTCGAGATGTAGAGAGAATGCCGCGACCGAATGACTCGACGGGGAGATCCCCATATGTGCAGCTCATTTTCCTGGCACGTCTCGCTGTTAGTGTTAGGTCGGGCGTGTCTTCCGACAGGCGGCTTTTGTAAGAAAATGACAAAATAACCGAAAGATCTTCAAACATACAAAAAAAAACGCCCCCCCCGAATCTGTTTTGACTATGTTTTAGCATCCCTCCTGCAGAGGGGCATGCCCGACTTAATGTTAGTGTCAGGATGCGAACTTCTGTCTGGCTCCATCCGCCTGCTCCCATCCCCGCAGTGCCAGCTCCGAGGCCAGGAGTGGTGGAGGCGCCCTCCTTGCCAAGCCTCCCTCCTTCTCCCTTCTCCCCGTCCCTCGTCCTTCCTCCTCCGCTTCCTCTTCCTCTTCCTCCGCCTCTTCCTCCTCCCCCTTCTTCTACTCCTACTCCTCCTCCGTCTCCCCCTCCTCCTTCTCCTCCTCCTCCTCCTCTTCCTCCTCCTCCCTCATCCTCCTCCGACTGCCTGGCTCCTCTTCCTCCTCCTCACTCCTCCTTCCTCCTCCTCCTCCTCCTCCTCCTCCTCCTCCTCCTCCTCCTCCTCCTCCTCCTCCTCACTCCTCCTCCTCCTCCTCCTCCACGCTTCTGCTTGAAAGCACCCCTGGAGGTTGCCCCCTCTGGGGTGCCGAAGCCGGCGCCTCGCTCGAGGCGTGCTCACAACCTGCCCTGAGAGCCGGGGAGGCCTGCGCACCCCGACGGGCAGGCCGCTCGAGACGTCCCCGCAGCCCGAGCGCGAACGGGCCCTGTGAGAGCACCCCGGCGGCTCCCCCGCGGGAGAGTGCCGAGACCAGCGCCTCGCGAGTCCGAGCACGGGCGAGACGGAGTGCGTCCGAGTGGGCCCGAGCGTGCGCAGGTCTGAGCGCGAGCGAGCCGGAGTGCGAGTGAGTCCGAGTGTGGGTGAGGCCGAGTGTGCATGAGTCTGAGCGTGAGCGAGTCTGAGTGCGATGGGTGAGCTTGCGTGAGGAAGAGGAGGGATGAGGGCGGGTGGAAGATAAAGGGGAATAAGGAGGTCAGGAGGCGTCTCAGCAATCACAGGAAACCCACGTCGGAGGTCTGGCGTCGCAGGATAAACAGTAACAGAAGATGCGCGCGGGAGTTAGGCGCTCCCTCGTTCCTCCTCCGCCCAAGCCTGGCTTCTCCTCCTCCTCCTCCTCCTTCCCACCCACCTCCACCTCTCGCCCCCTTCCTCCCCCCTCCTGATCACTAACCATTCCTGCACCACCCACATCTTCTTCACCTCCCCTTCCCCCATCATTCCTTCCCTCCACCTTCTCCTCCACCCTGCCCTCCTGCTCCGCCTCCCTTTTTCCCGCACCGCATCCCCTCTCCCCCTCGTGGATCTCCCCCCTCTACTCCTCCACCGTCCCCCCTTCCAGCACCACCCTGCTTGACCCAAACTTCGACGACGGAAATAGAAGCCTTCCAAAAGGGGCCCGACACCATCTGCTTCGACCCGATCTAGGCTGCCTGGAGGAAAGAAGCTCACCAACGCGCGCGCGCCCGCGGAGAGTCTGACTGCAGTCGAGCTCCCCACGACCTCGAGCGTCGCGCTCTGTCTCCGCGACCAGGCCCCCCCCCTTCGCCCACCCTCGACCGCACCGCCTGGACCCCGTGCTCTGTCGCGGGCGGGCCGTCGCCGGGTGGCCCCAGGACCCCGCAGCGGCCCGCGGTGACAGACGCCCCGACGAGGACGCCCGCGGCAGTGCTCCCGCAGCAAGCCGATACGCCGCGTGCCGCGGCCTCTCCGATGCGCACGACGCGGGGGCGGAGACTGCCAGCGCCCTCCGGGGCGGAGCCCTCCTGCCCCGCCACCCCCCCTCCGCCACCTCCACGGATCCGTGCGGCCTCCCCGTCCACCTCCGCCTCGCTCTCGCCCTCTCGGGGTCTCGGACCTGCGCGCCCTCTCCGCGGCGCGCGCGCCTCAGCCGCCCACGGCGACGGCAAACAGCCAAGACCGAACCCGAGGGTCCACCGACACCGCAGGCAGACCGGAGGGACGGCAACGGCGCAGCGGCCGACCGAGCCGAACCGCCCGAAGCGGCCGCCTGCGAACACCGCCCCAACCAGCATAGAATGCAACACGAACAGCGAACGTATCCATGTCCACGCCCTCGCGGTCTGGACTCTGGGGCGCGATCCTGTGGATGCGCGGTCGCACGGATACTTTCTGCGTGGGGCATCCAAGACAAAGCGCCCCGCAATTATCCGAGAAGAAAACTCGACCGGAGCCCTGGACCCCACTTCCTGCTGCATTTTTCTCGAGCCCGATCGGTCCGTGAGGGCCCCAGAGACCGGAAAAAGGCAGCATCCCCAGCCCCCCGACGTCATGATTTTTTCATGACGTCGAACCCCCGAGGTCTGGACCCATTCACAGGGACCAGATTTTCATCCCGAGTCGTTTGTTGACGGTCCCGAGGCTGGGCAAGGGCCCCCAGATGCAGAAAAGAGAACACCTCCCCGTCGTGACTTTTTCGTGGCCCCTGGGTCGCTCGCTGTGACAAAAAAGGGCGACGCCAGGATCTCAGGGTCCGCCGTGATGGCTTCGCAGCGAGAAACTCTAGAGGGGCCCTCTCCCATCGGGCCGCCCGGTGCCGGTGGCCCAGCGGCAGCTGGCAGAGCCCGACGTAGGCGCAGCCCAGGTCCAGCGAGATGGCCGCGCCGAGGTCCAGCTCCACGGCGAAGGCTGGGCCGTCGGAGTCCACGCCGAAGGACGCCTCTGATCGCCAAGGGCTCAACGACGGCTGCTCTCCCTCGACTCGCGCTGGAGTTTCCGCGAGATCTCCGTGTTAACACCTCGATATACTTGGACTTGCACGGATTCACGTAGGCTTCTCTGGGTCGACACCAGGCTTGATGACCGCAAGTCGATTGGAGAGGAGTCGTCAAACCCCCAAGCCCTCAACTTGCCGTCGCTCGGACGTCCATTTCCCGTGCATTTTTCGGTTTCGTACGTGTTTTTTTCCTCGATGGTCCAGGATGGTCCTCGTGGTTTCTCGCAGAGAAAAAATGCACACGTCCAAGCGATGCCAAGTCAAAGGTTCGAGTCGCCGCCGCCGCCGACGACGGAAGGTTTCCGCCAAGCTTCCGCCTCCGTGGGTCCTCCGCCGGGCCCCGGGGCCCCCCCGGAAGAAGACGAGCCTCTCGGGGTGCGAAGCCAGTCCCAAGGAAAAGGGGTCCACGCCGACGCCGACGCCGGCGCCGCGACGACGACGGCGACGGCGGCGACGGCGACGACGCCGGCGACGGCGACGGCGATCGACAGCGACGACGATGATGACGACGGCGAAGACGACGACGACGACGACGACGACGACGACGACGACGACGACGACGTCAACGCCGTGAACAAAAACTGGACGGAGGATGTCTGGGTCGTCGTCGTCGTAGCCGCCGCCGCCGCCGCCGCCGTCGTCGTCAGCATCGTCTTCGGCGCCGCCGCCGCCACCGTCGTCTGTGTCGTCATCGTCGTCGTTGTCGTCGGCGGCGTCATTGGCGTCGTCGTCGTCGCTGGGCGGGGGGGTCCAAGGGTCGCCGGCTTCCTAGAAAACCAATTCACAAGATGTTCTGGGGCTCTTGCAAAAGGCCTCAGCCCCTGGGACGCGTTCTCAGTCTTTGCGGCGACGCCGGGATCATCCCGGACTCCCGCCTGATGCCCGAGATGTTGGCCCGAAAACCACACACAAAGCGAGGGAACGGGATCAGCCAGTATCACATCGGGAAATCGGATCGAATCGGAACGTGCGGGGTCGGGCTGCCTGGGCACGGAGATGGGATCAAGTCGGCTCGGCCGCGCCAGGCTGCACAACAGCGCCTTGCGAGCATCGGGCCGCATCGCATCGTCGGAAGTTAGCAATCGGGTCGAATCGGGCGGGCCAGCATCGATGTCGATCGGATCACGACACACAGCGGATGCGGTTGCCCCGTGACGAGTCCAGAGAACCTCACGGATTGACACAGCTCAGAACGTCGCGCCAGAACATGGGGGTGATAGCCTTGCTTGTGACGTTCTATTAATTACGTCGTGCTTGTTTCTTCAAAATGCCTAGCGCCATAGAGGAGCAGGAGGAGGGCGGAGGGGCACGGAGACCGCAGGAGCAGGACGAGGCGTAGGAGGACCCAAAGAAGCTCCGCGGGCAACGACCGGGCATGGCGAGCGACGGTTGCACCCCTCCAGAAGACCCCAAAGACCCAAACGAGTCAGAAAGGCGAGGGCTCCAGGATGAGCAGCCCCCCCCTCCTCCCTCCCCTCCTGCCCTGCCGCCGCTGGATGCACCAAAACATCCTCTTCCCCAGCCAGAGGAGGCAGCCATGATCGATCGACCCGCGGTACGCGCCTCCACGGGTGTTGCCAGCCGCGCCGTGCTGAGGGAGGGGGGACCAACTGAGCATACGGTCACGCACTCTTGCCTCGCATGTCGCGGCCGCAGCCCCAGCGACGCGCTATGCCCTGCGAGCGGATGGCGTGTCGCCCCGCTCCGCGGGCCGGGAGGTCGGAAAAGCTCGGGAGTTAGACGCCTCGAGACCAGGATGCGGCTAGCATCTCGCGCTGAAGCGTGGTGGGCTAAAGCAAAGCTCGTGACCGTAGGTGTGCTCGGGCCAGATCTGACATCTCGATGTGCCACCCATCGCTTCCCACTGCGCTGATGTTCCCTCCATCCGCCGACGGGTGCCATAGCGAGCCTCGAGCCCCCGAAGGGACACTATCGTATGATGCGCAGTCCTAGGAGGAGGGGAGCTGTGTACATCTGCGGGGGAGCGGGTGGCAAAAAGGAGCTAGAGGGTGGGCAGGGGGAAGAGACAGGGACGTGGAGCCGGAGGGGGGACCTGGAGCAGGTACAGTCGCACGATCGACCCGCGATCGCGAAGCCTCCAAGGGTTGAGCCAGCCGAGAGGCGCAGCACACCCTCCCCCTTCGGCCCGAGGATGCGGCGACGAGCGATGCTCACCCACTGCGCCGCAGGCGTCACGGCGACCACAGAACCGAGAGCCGAACGAGCCGACCACGGAAGCGAGACCGGTCGAGACCGCAGGCAGCCCGGAAGGGCGCGGCGGCGCCGCAGCCGAACGGCCCGAACCGACAGGACAAGACCGACTGCGAAGCAGCCGAGGCGACGGAACCGCGGGCACGCGTGGTGATCCCTCGCAACTCGGGTATGCGGCGGCCGGTCGGGACGATCGGGGCACCCCCAGAGCGCACCCAGCAAGGCTGGAACATTGCCGAGAACCGGCGAAAACGTCCGACAACTTGGCTTGCCTCCCCGCCGAGCGAAGGGTATGGCGACCGCCGAACTGGAACTTCTGGGTTTACGAAGTCGTGGGACAAAGCGAATTGGGCCCAGCTCGGGGATATGCAATGGGGGGGCGTTCATTGTCGCGACGATGTTGCATCCGAAAAGGCCCCTGGATGCACATCTCCCCTAACTCCCCTTCCTTTCTGAGCTGCCGGTCGTTGTTGGGTGAACTCGGGGACATGCGGGAGAGAAACCGTGAGATCCGACGTCGTGAAAACATGCGACTTCGTGGAAACAACCTCTTCCTGCTGCACCGCATCGATCCGTGTGGGGGGGGCTCGGGGGCCCGAACCAACAAGGCAACACCGGCCGTCGGGAAACATACCCGGGCCTCGGGGAACCGCCGTGGCGACCCCCCACGAGCCGAAGGGTGCCGGTGGGCTTCAGTCGGGCCCGTCCCTCTACAGGAGGAATGTCCCAAAATAGTTTAAACAAATAATCCGGGCACGGTGTTTTCAAGTCTAATTATTTGACTATTTATGTTTCCGTCCAGAATCCGCCTGTAGGGGGACATGCCCGACCTAGCGGTGGGCCTCCAGGGTGTGGCCCGCCCCGTCGTAGCCCAGCCGCACCGAGTGGATCATCCTCGGGAGGGGGGGGGGAGCGGGGAGGCAGGCTCGGCGCCGCGGCTCCGCCGCGCGCGGGCGGCCGGTGGTTGCCGCCCCGCGCGCGGCCGCGGGGGCGTGGGGAGGAGGAGGCCCCGTCGGGGCAGCGCGGGAGGAAGGTCGCATGTCTTGAAGGGGACGAATGAGCCTGGCCTCCTCCTGCTCCTCCTCCTCTTCCTCCTCCTCCGCTTCCTCGACTCCTCAAGCCCTACTCATCCTCCTCCTCCCCCTCCTCCCTGCTCCCTGCCCTGCCCCCCCTCCTCCATACCTTCCTCCTCGCCCCTTCTCATCAAGTACACAAAATGAATACTACTGTCCTCTCTCCCCTGATGACGTCGATATCGGGCCCCCTCCGCGTACTGTTTCTGCACACAGGATTCCCAGGAGTTGGGTTTTCCCTTGAGCTGTTTTTCAAAATGTTGCTCCCGATGAAGCGCTGGCCTCATGTTCGGGCTTCCTCTCGTTACGAATCGTCCTCCCGCTGCAACGCAGGCCTCATTTCCGCGCTTCTGCTCGTTTCGATTCGTGCTCCCGCTGCGGGGATGGCGTCATGATTTTCAGTGCAATGCCACGGCATGTTTTTTTCTGTCCTTCCAAAGGCCCCCAAATTTAGAAAATGCCCCCCCGAAAAAAACCATCGGAAGTGATAACACAGTCGGTGCCGATTCGTTGATTTTGGACCGCAGAAGCCCCCCCCCCTCCCATTTGGGGGCGTCGCCACGCCATGCTATGTCATGCTACGCGTTGATCTTCAACACTATGCTATGCCATGTAATGCTATGCCATGCTACGACATCCGACTGTGCGAATAGAGAGGAGATCTACGCCATGGTACGGGATGGGAGGGAGGGGTAGGACGTCAGATATGACGCGAGTGCACCTAGCTTGCCACCACCCCCTCCCCATCCTCGCCTCTGCTCCTCACATCATCCCCATCCTCCCTCCCTTCCCATCTATATTATTCTCCTCCTCCTCCTCAACCTCCTCCTCCTCCTTCTCCTCTTCCTTCTCCTCTTCCTTCTCCTCCTCTTCCTGTTCCTCCTCCTCCTCCTCCTCCTCCTCCTCATCCTCCTCCTCCACGCCTCCCCTCCCATCTGCTTTTGCGTCTACTTCCCCGTCCCCCTCCCCGCCCCCTCCCTCCGTCCCTCTTCCTCCACCTCCCCCGGGAGGCGACGACGACGGCGGACGGACGACGAACGATGGATAAGAGAGGACGACGCGACCAAAGACGGCGGCGGCAGCGACGACGGCCGCCAAACACGACAAGCACGACAGACGACGACGGCCGCACCGACAAAAGACGAGCGACGAGGCCCCAGAGGGCACTGCGTGCGCAGGGTCCCGCGAGGAGAGGGCACCGTGAAGGACTCGGACGCGAGCTCCAGCACCTGCGCGCCGCCGTCGGTCGTCGCTCGCCGCCGTCGGTCGTCGCTCGCCGCCGCCGGGCGTCGCTCGTTCGCCGTCGTCATCGCGGCGCCGTCGTCGTACGTCGGGCGCCGCCGTCGCCCGCGCCCGTCGCTCGTCGTTCCTCGTCTCCTGACACGCTCTCTCGCTGCAGAAAAGCACGACAGAGCGGTTTCGCCAATGTTCGGCTTCCGGGGGCCTCGACGAGCCATCGGACAGTCGAAAGACAGCTCAGGATGAAGAGCCGGTCTCCGGGAAGGGGTCCAGACCCCCGAGGAGGCACACAGTGGAAAAAATCACGACGTCGGATGTATGAGTAGTCACAGGCCGTGGGCAGTCGCTGTCGCCTGTCCCCGTTGACCGTCGATCTTCGTTCATCGTCTGTCGTCGTCGTCGCCGCTGCGGGATGGGGGGGAAGAGGCCGGGAGGTTAACAACGGGACGAACAAATCGGGCCGCGACTGGGGGGTCGCAGCTCTCGCCTCTCCCCTTGCCTCGTGAGGGCGGGGAGTGGGGACAGTGGAAGAGGAGGGGAGGAGGCACGGCGTTGAGCTGCTCGACGAAACACAAAGGCAGGGGGGTTGGAGGGGGAAAATGGAAGAGGGGACCGGGCTCAGCCAGGAACCAGAACTCATCATCATGCTCTAGCTTGTCGCACGACCAAAAAGGGGGGAGAAGAGGGTGCTGGGGGGGACAGTGGCAGGGGCTAGAGTTGGGCGGAGTGGAAGAGCATAGGAGGACGAGGAAGCCAGGCACGTCATGTCGCGTCTCGCACGCAAGCGCGTACGTGTACAGCTTGTCCGGCACCATGCCTTGAGCACGTGCTGGATAATCTCAGGTTCGCACACGAGTGCAAGGTACCGATGATCGCGTGCCCCGAGGGCCCATGAGCCATTAAGGGATGCGACGCTTCCCTGTGGCGCTTGCTGACAAAACTTGTTTAGTCACTCCATGTGCGCACTGAAACAGGGACTGCTGGCGCCACAAAGCTGACGTGTTTTCCGTCCAAACCTGCTGCCTCAACCGGTGCCGTTGGACTAGATGCCCAGGTCCGCCCCCGCCCAAGACGACAAGAGGCAGTGGAGACCCGAGACGGACTCCCAGGCACGGTGGCGGAGTGGGCCACAGGCCACTAGGTACACACACTGGCCTTGTCGACCCAGGCTCATGAACGTGCGTGCGTGGCCCTGTTTACTAACTAAAGGTATGTGTGATGGGAGAGAGCATGAATGGCACGGCACTCCCGAAACGGAGGACGGGAATGTGGAGTTGCAGTTTCAGCTGCAGCTGCAGAGAGAAAGAGAGGGATGGACAGACAAAGACGCATACAGAGAGGGGGGTCCTCCTCCTTTCCCAGACACCCGACGTCGTGACATGCAGCACGCGTGCGTGCGAGGGCCGTTGGAGACCGTTCCGAGATCTGGCCCTGCGGGCAGCTTGACACATCGAGCGGGGCGAGTGCTGACATCTGCTGCGGCGGCGGCGCCGGCCAGGGGAGGAAGCGGCCTCCCCTCCAGCGGCGGCTGGGAGAGCGGCCGAAGGAGACGGGCCGTTGAAGGGAACGGGTCTCCGTGGGCCCGGGGGGGCGGGCCATTCCCCCAGGCGGAGGGGCAACACCAGGGGGGGACCGTCACAGGGGGAGAAGGGAACATCGACCTGGAATCGGCGATACAGTGCCGATGGATCGGAGATCGGCGATGGGCCCCCCAGAATGGATCCGAACGATGCTCCTTGGTGGGGGTCGATGATCGGGCCCCTATCGGCGAAGGAGTGGAAGATTGGGGGTCGATGCGTTCCCGCATATGCCTATCACCCCCCTCACCCCGAGCAACCTTCTGACGGCCCTCACGGGGACCGAGGGCCCAGCGAGGGCCCAAAACAGCGGCGACCCTCTGGACCCACTTCTACAAACATCCGACGATGTGATGTATTCAAGGCGCGGCCCCAAGGGTCCCGCGACATATTCTGTGTGGGGGGGGGGGGTAGTTTTCCATCCCAGGTCAATGTTTGATGGCCCGGGGGCCCAAAGACGGACCCAAAGGGGACGAAATCCGAAATCATGTCCCTGAGATCTGATGCCACGGAAGAGGTGCAACAGAGTACCGAAATTCGACCAGAGCCCTGGACCCCATCTCTCTGCTTCATTTCTCGAGCCGCCATCGATCCGTGAGGGCCCTAGGACCCCTAACAAGGCAACTCAATCGCTAGATTTCGTTGTAAATGCGACGCCAAAACCTCGGGGGAGGAAGAGCACACCCGTCGAGCAGGAGAGCCCAGACTGGGGTCTCCTGTAGAATCTATGACACAACACTTAGAATGTTCTTACGTCAACGAACATCATGCGCATTTGTTCGCAGAGTCGAAAAGACAACCAACTTTGGAGTAGGTCCATTCTGCAGGCGATCTCCGACTCGAACCCGGGCTGAGAAACACAGATCCTCGGAGATCTGGGCCTCCTCCACGGCGGGGCCGCGGCGAAGCCTGAGATCCGAACAAATTGCCACATCGCAGAAAAAAAACAAGACTGGACCCCTCGGACCCTTCGTCTCTATGCGTCATCTTTCGAGCCGGATCCATCCGTGAGGGTCCCGGGGCCCGAAAGTGAGCGAGAACAACCAGCTCGAACAAGACGGAGTCGCCAGAATCTCAGGGCCCAGACCCCCGACGACATGATTTTTTCATGATGTCGACTCCCATCGGGAGCGGCCAAGAGGGGGGTGCCCAAGAGGGGGGGGTGCAAATCATGACTGGCGGCATGTGCGCGGCACAGCGAGGGGGCCAGGGACGTAATGAAGTAAGAGGAGGCGCCATGAAATCTGGGGAAAAATCATGGCCCCCGCCATGATATCCCCCCCACCCTAGTCATCACCCCCCTCTTTGCCGCCCCCGACCCCAGAGGTCTGGACCCATTCCCCGGGACCGGTTACTCATCCTGGATCATCTTGTAAAGGCCCCGAGGCCCGGTGAGCACCCCCCGGGGCCGAAAAAAAGGAGGCGTTCCGCCGAAGACCTCCCGTCGTGATCTTGTTCATGGCCTGAGGGGGCCTGGGATCTCAGGGAGCGGCGCGGCGCCGCGCGCAGCGGCGGCGCGATGGCGGGTGGGCCACCGGCATGCCCGGCCCGTCCGCGGCGGCCTCGCGGGGCCTCGGCGGCCCAGCGGGGAGGGGCGCGCCGCGCGGGGAGGGCGCCCCGCTCGCGCGAAGGGCCGCCCAGGGCCCCCACGGACCTCCACGGCCTTGGCTTCGTGCGGTCGCGAAGTCGTGGGGGGGGGGGCAGTGGAGAAGGGGGGAGAGGGGTGCCATTTTTAGGCCCCGAAGGCCCCCTCCTGGGCCCTGAATCGGGGATCTTCTGACCCCAATCCAGACCTGGGTCAGCAGGAAACCCAAAAATTGCAATGCAGGAAAAACAACTGCAACGCAGGTCTTCGCAAACCCGGGTCAACCAATATGCGCGGACGCCTCGCGGACACGAGCGGCTCGCTAACCCGGGTCAGCCAGAGGGGGTAATCGCAGGATCCTGCAGGATCCGCTGCCCTGGCTGACCCCCGTTTGCATTGACCCCCGTCTCTTGAGCCCCGACTGAAGGGCCCCTCTCGGGGCCCGGGAGGGCCCCTCTTCGGCAGCCCTCGCTCCCCACCCCGTGCATCGCCCCCGCACTACGCGTCCCTCCGGTTCGTTGGTTCCTGGCAGTCCTCTGGCCTCGGGGTGCTCTCCAGCAGCTGCGCCTCGCCAAGAGCGGTCCAGCGGCGCCCGAATCGTCCTGATCGGCTTCCGGAGGCTCCGGCTACGACACGAAAACTGAATACCATACCTCGGATGACATTATTTTTGCAATCGCGGCGGTTTCCCGTCATCTCGCCATCCAGGGGCCGCTTGCGGATCTGGACCGCAAAACTACCTCCAGAGAAGGGGTCGGGAGCACTGGGGCTGCGGATTGAATAAATCATATCGGTGGGCGGATGTCCGGTTGCGAGAAAACTGCAGCGACGGGGGTCTGGGTTGTCCAGGTCGTCGTGATCGCCCTCGTCGTCTGTACCTCCATCGTCGCCCAAGGGGTGCCCTGTCGTCGCAGGGGAGGCTGAGGTGTGGTTTGTGGTCGTCAGGGGCGAGGGGGAGGAGGAGGAGAAAGCAGAGGAGGGCGAGAAGGAGAAGGAAAAGGAGGAAGGAGGAGGGGGAGGAGGAAGAGGAGGAGGAGGAGGAGGATGGCAGCGCCCCCAGCCACAGCCAGAGGAGGAGGAGGAGGATGAGGAGGAGGAATAGGAGGATGAGGATGATGATGATGATGATGAGGAGGAGGAGGAATAGGAATAGGAATAGGAGGAGGAGGGGGAGGAGGAGGAGGAGGAGGAGGAGGAGGAGGAGGAGGAGGAGAAGGAGGAAGAGGAGGAGGAGGAGGAGGAGGAAGAGGAGGAGAGGAGAAGGAGGAGGAGGAGTGCCATATATGTCCCATATGTCGTATACGTCATCACAAACACCAGCATCTACCGCACCATCGACGTCAGCATGGATCCCGAGCCTGGCGCGACTGCTTGCTCCTGGCAGTCCAAGCCGACGAACGCAGCAGCAGCAGCGGGAGCAGCACGACGGACTCCAGCAGAAAGACCGTGAGCAGCATGACAGACTTCAGCGGCAGCATCGTGCACAGCGCGACGGACTCCAGCAGCACGAACGTCAGCAGAATGGCGGGCTCCGGCAACACCTTCGTGAGCAGCACGACGGGCCCTTGCAGCACGACCGTGAGCAGCATGACGGACTCCAGCGGCAGCATCGTGAACAGCACGACGGACTCCAGCAGCACGAACGTCAGCAGAATGGCGGGCTCCAGCAACACCTTCGTGAGCAGCACGACGGACTCCAGCAGCAAGACTGGGAGCAGCATGACGAATCCCAGCAACACCATCATGAGCTTCATTACCGACTCCAGCAACACCATCGTGAACAGCACAGCACGACGGACCCCAACAGCACGTCCGTGGTCAGCACGACGGATTCCAGAAATGCGACCGTGAGAAGCATGATGAACCCCAGCAGCAGCGGACTCCAGCAGCACGAACGTCAGCAGCATGGCGGATCCCAGCAGTACCATCGTGAGCAGCCAAATGGACTCGAACAATACCATCGTGAGCAGCACGACGGACTCCAGAAGCATGACCGTGAGCAGCAGGACGGACTTCAGCAGCTGCATGGTGAGAAGCACAAAAGACCCCAGCGGCACGATCGTGAGCAGTATGACGGACTCCGGCAGCACCATAGTGAGCAGCACCACGGAGTCCAGCAGCACGACCGTGTACAGCACGACGGACTTCCGCACCACCATCGTGAGCAGCATTACGAATTCAAGCAGCACGACCGTCAGCAACGTGACGGACTTCAGCAGCAACATCATGAGCAACATCGCGGACTCTAGTCAGCATGCTGGCGACCGACCACACACTCCAGCAACAGCACCAACACGCCCAGCAGCACCGCCACTATCATCGACGCCTGCAGCGACGCCAGCGGCGACGCTCACATCGACACCACCAGCAACAGCACAGCCATCTACCTCGACGCCAACGCCGACGTCTGCAGTGACACCGTCAACGACACCAGCACTGGCAACACAGCCACTAGTCTCGAAGCCATCACCTACACTTGCAGCGACGCCCGCAGCGACGCCTGCAACGACAGCAGCACCGACGCCAACATCAACCCCAGCATCAGCGCCAGCATCGGAGACGAGCTCCAGTGGCAGGCATCGGGAATAGCACGGCGGACTCCAGCAGCACCACCGTGGTCAGCAGGACGGCATCCAGCAACACCACGGCGAGCAGGACGATGGGCGCCAGCAGCACCACCGTGTACAACACGGCATACTCCAGCAGCAAGACCGTGAGCAGCATGACGGACTCCAGCGGCAGCATCACGAGCAGCATGACGGACTCAAGCAGCACGATCGTGAGCAGCAAGACGGACCCCACCAGCACGATCGTGAGCAGCAAGACGGACTCCAGCGCACGACTATGAGCAGCACGACGTCAGCAGCGCGACCATGAGCAGCACGCCTGCAGCGATGCCAGCACAGTCAGCACATATACTAACACAACCAGCACCGATGCCAGCAACGACGCCTCCAGCGACGCCAGCATCGACGCCTGCATCGACGACAGTACGAACGCCAGCATCGAGGGAAGCACCGACGGCTCTCCGACCGTGGCTCCTGAGTCTGGCCACCATGCTGGATCGACGTGGCACGTCGACGCTGGAATCGCCGTCATCATCGGCGCCGCCATCGACTCCGGCGCCTACGCCAACCACGACGCCTGCAACGACGCCAACATCGACCGAGGCCAGCCGACGCTCCCGAGACCTGCCCAGCGACTACGCGTCGGCTCCTCGCCACGTCCAGCGGGGCTGCAAAACGGTCACCCTCCAGGACCTGGCAGCCTTTCAGACCTTTGCAGCCATTCTCGCCCGCCGCGGCCAGGACACCACCACCGACGTGGCCCTGGAGTGGGCTGCGATCGCTTCGACAGCCCACGCCGCCCTAGTACCAACGGACCCCCTACACGCGCTGGCAGGGTACCCGCGGTGGGCACGTCTCCTAGAGGACGTCGCTAATCCGAAGGACACCAGCCCGCCAGCACGGGCTCCTACCACATCCCATGGCAGGTCCGCTTGCCCTGAACAATATATGCGGATATGTTGGCACAAAGCGACTCGGAGCAGGGCTCTGACGACGCCGCTTCGACTGCAAATGACGCCTTCCCCGACGACCACCCCCACGAGCATCGACAGACACCACGACCACGGTAGGTGCACTTCGCTGACCAACCGAACGACGTCGTACCCCAGGTCCTTCCAGCCGCCCCGACCAACTCTTCTCCCGACGCCCTCTCCCGAGCACGCCCCACGACCACGGACAGGTAAAGCGACCAAGACGGGTGAGCTTCGCCGACCAACCGAACGACGCCCCCGACGCGTCACCGACGCCCTGTCTGACAACCTCTCCCAAGCCCCACCCGACGCTCCACTCCCCGACTCGCAGTGCCCCTTGGCAGCACCGTACAACACGACACGACCAGCAGCAGCTCGATCGATGAGCAACACGCGCACCCCGCAGCACGTGGCTGCCAGCGCCCCGCCCATCCGCCCTCGCCCTTGGCCGCGCGGCTCACGGCTCCCGGGGGCGAAGCTGAGGCCTCGAAGCGGCACTCAGGCTGCGCGGCCTGCCCAGTAACACTCTGAGACTCTGCCGCCCCCCGCCCCCCCCCCCCGCCGACGCAAGCTCTGGCACCTCCGTGCCGCTCGACCCGCTGGAGGGCGCCAACAGCCATAACCACGAGTTGCGTCAATTCCCCAAACACCCCACTCCGACTCCCGACGAGCAGCCGACCCTGCCCCCCCCCAAAAGGCTCGTGCTCCGCACCGTCACCCTGCCCACTCCCCACCCAGCCGACGCCCTCCAACACCCATCCTCCTCCAGACGCCCACCACCGTGCATGTCAGCACCTCGGGGGCGCCGACGCTCACCACGGCCAGGCCCTGCACCCGAACATCAGGTTCGTAGGCACGCCACTTCGGACACAGATGCGGTCGTGCTCTGCGGTGTCAACAACCTTCACGACCGAATGAACAGCGACCTGGACCGCACCGACGGGGGACAGGAGCACCACCAGAAGGACGGCTTCCCCTTCTTCATCGTCGTCGCCCCCTCGATCATTAACCAAAAAAGGACCCCCCTAACCCTTTTAGAGGGGGCCTGAGTTAGGAGGGCCAAAAACGTTGGGGATAGGGGGTCTTTTCTGCAGATGTGCCCAATCAACCCGCCGGGAAGTATTATCTCTAGTGCCAGGGCGGCGCTCTCAGCGAGGCCACGTCTTTGCTCTGATTTTAGGGCTGGGGCTTCGGGTGTCCTCGAGGACTCGAGGACGGGGCGGGGGGGGGGTCCCAGCGTGAGCCGGGCCGGCGGCGGCAGTGCCAAAGGGGCAACCCCCCGTGCGAGGAAGGGCGCCAACTTCCTCCCCCCCCTCGTCCCCCGCCTCCCCTCCGCGCGTTCCGTCCCCCCTCTCTTCCCCCCTCCCCCTGCGTTTCCCGGGAGGGCTTCGTTGGCCTCTCCGTGCGTGGGGGGGGGGGGGGCCCGCTTGCTCCCTCCACCCCGCCTCCCACCGTCGTGCCTCGGTCCGTGCGCCCGGGCCCGCTTCGTCCTCCTCTCCTTCGGGCCCCTCGTGGCGTCCTCCCCCGCCCTCGTCCCTCGCCGGCCCCGCCCGCCGGCGCGGAGATCGGCCCATGTTCGGGATCGCCCCACCCAGCGCGCCAGACGGCGCCGACGGGTGGGGGCAATGGCAGCGTCAGGACGCGCAGATGCCACCAGGTGCCAGGCGCCAGGGGGAGTGCACGGGCACGAAGGGGAGAACGGGGAGTGGAAACAGGTGGAGAGAGGGGAAGCAGGACAGACAGGGGAGGGAAACGAGTAAAGGAGAAGGGTGCCCGCTTCTCCCATTGGGGGCGGCGGACTGGTCCCCTCGCACTGCGCCGACTCTTCCAATTGCAGGCCCGATGCTCCCACGGCCCCGAGCCGCCTGCGGTCTTGGGCGGTCCAAGTGCGGTGCTGGCGAGATGCCACACTTATGCACCGACTTCTCCGACACCACGAGCGACGAGATGTACAAACCCATCCGCCCCACCCATGTGACTGAGGGCACCGGTACCTACAGCTGGCGCCAAGTATCTACAGCTGGCGCCACCACCTCCTCGTTTTCCGTCTCCTCCTCCTCTCCTCCTCATCCTCCTCCTCCTCCTCCTCCTCCTCCTCCTCCTCCTCCTCCTCCTCCTCCTCCTCCTCTTCCTCCTCGTGACTGGAGAGCAGAGGGCGCGACGGTCGCCGTCCGTCCCCGAGCCCGGGCTGGCAGAGGTAGAGGGCCATGTGGACGTCGGCCTGAGGGGTAACGTCAGGAGCAGACCAGCTCAGGGAGGGAACTGAGATAGCCGCGGCTGCCGCTAAGAGGCGAGAGGGGTTTGAAGTGGATGCTAAGATGGGCTATAGCTGACCAAACTTAGCTCACGAAGGAGTTACAAATTGCCTGAGTGGTTTAGAGATCAAAGATCTCCGCGAAGTGGGCGGAGCCCACGTAGCCAGGATTGCTACCCCCGTATGCCGCATAGGGAGGGCACCTGTCGGCCACTTATGAGCTAGCTTCTAGCTTAGGCCAGATATAGCCCGCCCTGGCATCCACTTCGAACCCCCTTATCCCGAGTAACGACTTTCGCGGAATCGGTGTCCGAAATTTTCGGACGGGCAGGTTTGTCGGCTGCGCCTCGCCGAGAGCTTCCCCGGGGTTCCTGGATCGTCCCGAAAGGCCGCCGGAGGCCTGGGTTGTGAGCCGAAAACCACCAAGGGACCCGCTCGGGGAGAAACCCTCGACCTGGAATCGGCGATGCATCCGATCGATTGGCACTATGCCCCCGAGAGCGAAAACGTACGTCCCGCTCACGGGGAAGCGCATCAAGCTGGAAGCAGCGATGCATCGCCGGCACATCGGTGATGGGATCCCGAGAGCGAAACCGCGCGTTCCGCTCAGGGTGGGGACACCGAGCTGGGATCGGCGATACACCGCCGATAGATCGGCGACAGGTCCCCGAGAGCGAGACACCCCACGGTCCTGGGGGCAATCGGGCCTCTCTCGGCGATCCGGCCCCTACCTGCGATCCGTGGGCGATCAGGATGGGCTCTCATTGTGGATGCCATGACAATGGACACGCTAACAGTCCTATCACTGAACTAAAGATGTGTGGAAAGTGTGTAAATCATGCTCTAAATAGGTTTCAAACCTATTTTTTACATGTTTGAAGCCGTTTTTAGACATCTGGAAATTATTTGGCAGCACGCTCCCTCCTCTCCAGTAGCCGACCTCCACGAGACTATCGGGCCCCTCTCGGCGACCAGTGGGCGACGGCGGGCCGATGCCCCCCCCCCTCCCGCCCCCGAGCCCATCCCCCCCCCCCTGACGCTGCCCCCGATGACGACCTCCCGGGTGGGGGTGGGGCGCGGCGGCCCCACCACCAGGGGGGCAGGCGGAGGACGAGCGGCGCCGCCGCCGCCCGCCGACGCATCCCTGCCATCGCCCGGCCCCCGAGTGAGCCCAGCCTCCGCTGCTTCTTCCCACAGCACGTCTCCTCCTCCTCCTCCCCTCCATCCTCCCATCCTCCTCCTCCTCCTCCTCCTCCTCCTCCTCCTCCTCCTCCTCCTCCTCCTCCTCCTCCTCCTCCTCCCCTCCTCCCTCCTCCCCTCCTACCTCCTCCTCCTCCTCCTCCTCCTCCTCCTCCTCCTCCTCCCTCCTCCTCTCCTCCTCCCTCCCTTCCTCCTCCTTCCTCCTCCTCCTCCTCCCTCCTCCTCTCCTCCTCCTCCTCCCCTCCTCCTCCTCCTCTCCTCCCTTCTCCTCCTCCCTCCTCCCTCCTCCTCCCTTCTCGCCGAGAGCCTTCGAGGTAAACCCGCATCGTCCCGGAGGCCCGCCAGAGACTCGAGTACCATGACATCCCCCCACCCCACCTGGTCCTCTCTAGAGGCCTGCCAGATGGGGTCCAAGTAGATGGGGTCGCAGGATTGCACCGCATCGCCGATGCATCGGCGATGCATCGGTGATGCGCCGGCGAGGTCTGCGGTGCATCGACGACCTCGGTAGGGAAACACGGGCGCCACATCGAGCCGCATCGGCGATGCATCGGCGATGCGGCGCGATCCTCCGACCCCATCTACGAGGCCAACAGGGCAGTGTTTGATACATGGGATTTTTTAAATCTAGGGTTTTTAATACATGAGTAAGTTATGAATGAATGTACGCATGAACTCATCGTTGTTTTCAGTACTGAATCCCTGCAATTCTTATACATGATCCGCACGCGGAGCATGTATCAAAAACGGCACTGTAGACTCTCCCCTCCGTGTGGGGCGGCCCCGGGCCTTCGGCCTCGCCGTGGGCGGAGCACGCCGGCCAACCACCCAGGTGGGGCCACTGCGGAGGGGAAAGCAGAAGGCGCACCCGCGAGGGAGAGGAGCAGGAGGCCCCAGCTTCTGGCGTCAATCCATCGGCATTCGAGGATCGACGATCGAGCCTTCGGAAGACTCTGCTCCTTTTGGGGGGGCATCTGGGAGGCTGCTCGTCGACAGGGTCGGTTTCTCGTGGCCCACCGCCACCTGGCAGAGACGACACCCTCCGCGCAAGCTGACGCGCCGTGCTCCTGGTCGTGCGGGCGGGGGGGGCCGATCGAGGCTCTGGCGTCCCATCCCGTGCCTCGGCACCTGCCCCGCTCCCCTCCGGAGCCGCCCCCGAGGCCAGCCTCGGGGCTCCACGAGCAACGCTCGGAGGATCAGGCGAAGACCACTCGGGGGCTCTGACGAGCGATCTGCCACCTCACCAGGGCCTCCGCTCTCGGGCGGGTTGGGCCCCTCCTGTCCCAAGGGCAGGGCGACGGGGACCGTGCGCGTGAGCTGGCAAGGGCCAGAGGCGGCACAACTTTTCACTTAGCAAGTGATTCCATCACGTGAGAGCCCCGGGCACGCTACGCGTACACGAACGGTTATCGCAACCAATGGCGAGCAAGATCCTGGTAGCTCGCGAAGAAGACTCTGGCAAGCGTCCACCCCTGGCACATACACTCACCGAAGACACACACACACACATACTGCACCCACGAGGGCCATCATTTGCGTACGGGCGCCACATGGTCGCGAGGTCTTGGCCCTGTAACTAACCAATTTGCTCCCACCAATAGCCACCCGCACTGGCAGGCACTGCGCTGTAGACTTGGCTCAAGAAGCCCTCTTCTGAGCAATCGATCGGGCCACCTGGCTTCGCGTGCTGTATTGCCCGAAGCAAGAAGCACGAACCATGAAACAAGAGCAACTGTTGAGAAAGACGCCTCTCTGGACAAAATGAGACTTACCATTCGCCGCCCGCGGGTGACCTAGATTGCGAGCAAATCATCTCTGATGAGCGCTCAGGAAGAAGGGGACGTGCTAGAACGAAGCTTACACCTCTTGCGGCGGCCTCAAGACCTAGCAGGTGAGATGAAGCTCAATTCCTAGAACGGATCTGCGTCACCCCCTCAATGTTCCCCTTGCACCTTACACCATCTATAGTAGCTGTGGCCACTTACCTTGGGTACGGCAATGGGCCCCTTGGGCGTGGCAATGGACCCCTTGAGCTTGGCAATGGATTCCCTGGGTATGGTAATAAGCCCCTTGGATAGACGCTGTATCCCGTGGGTGTGGCAATGATTATCTTCGGTATGGTAATGGACACCTTGGGTTATGGCAGTGGAGCCCAATGAAGCCAAATGGAGGCAAATGCTGTCCGACAAGACTTGATCTGACGGCGTCAAATGGATCCCGATGGAGTCGTACGGCTTGCCAATGGAGCCGCATGGCGTTTCGAAGGAAGTATCTGGAACCCAATGAAGTCATATGGAGTCCAACGGAGTTTAATCTGGTCCAATGGACTCATCTGGCCAATCGAGTTCAATGAAGTCCGACCGAGTTGTATGGAGACCCATGGAATCCTGAGGGGTCCGATGGAATCAAATGGGAAACCCAATGGAAAACCATGGAGTCGTATGGGCGATCAGGCAGGCAACTGGATGTACTAGAACCTAGAATGCTCAAATCGGGCCCAATGGAGCCATATGGAGTCCGAGAGGCCTGTGGTGTTTAATGGAGTCGAACGGAGTCGCACGGATACTCCAAAAGAGTCCAGTGGAGTCGTATGGGCGTCCCCATGGAGAAAATGGAATCCAATGGAGTCCATAGTAGTCCAGTGGAGCCCACATGGAGTCCTGTGAAGTCCCATTGCGTCCGACGGATTTCAACGAGTGCAGTTCCATGGGGTCCAACGAAGTCCACTAAATACCAATGGAGCTCCATAGAGTCCAATGCAGGCGAATGGCGTCATGCAATCAATTCAACTACTTCTTTGCAGCCGAATCCGGCACATCAATTCGCCATTGAGTCCAATGGGGCCCATGCAATCGATTCGGCTACTTCTATCGATTTGGTGTCAACGCTGGTGTGTATATATATATAGGTGCGTGTGTATGTGAATACACATATGTACACATAGGTGCGTACATACACGTGTGTATATATCACAGATATAAGGGCTTCACAGTGAAATGGTGTTGAAGTGCCGTCATAGGGGAGAAGACAACGGGAGGAGAGGCCCCCTCGGGCTGCGCAAGCCTCGCTGCTGCCGCCTCTGCCCGGGGCAACGCGCAGCGTCACCTCCAGCGCCTGAGTTGCCACGGCCTGCTTCATGCAAAGACGACTTCTGACGAGTAATCAGCAGAGGGGCATGCAAGACTCAATCTGCGGAGGAGCAGGAGGCAAGCAGGGGGTGGGTCAATCGCAGCAATATCCCACCTTCAATGACGGGGCCGCGCTCGGGCAGATCCGATATCCTGAGCCATCAACCCTGAGCCCGAGGAAACCACAGAGGAAAGTTGTGGGTGCGACTTACTCGAAGGCCCTTCTCAATTCGGGTTACCCTGGCGATGGACGCCATCCTCTCCCTGCTGCTCCTCCTCCTCCTCTCCTCCTGCGCGTGCCCCTCCTCCTCCTCATCCTTCGCGCTGGCGATGAGCAGAGAGGCGTCGGGGCGCCCCGACAAGATTGCTCTGACAGAGATGCGCCGGCAGGTAGACTCCATGCCCGCGGCATCGGCATCGGAGATCTTCGCACCAGCGAGGGTCAGCAGCGCCCGCAAGGAGAGGGATGCAAGGATCCAGCTCAGCGTGAACGAGCCGACAGCCGTCATCGCGAATCGCACCCAACATCTCGGGGCCGTCCGCTGGTGGGAGCCGCACACATGTACGCTGGGGTGTGCGAGCCTCCACCCGGAACATGGAGCACACATCCTTTGTTCACGCTCGCGAACTTGCCCCGAAGAGTGTCCCCTCTTCAGGGCGCAATGGCGGCTGCGAACACAGCTTCATGGTCAAACTTTTGGCCCCCGAGTCAGCACCAATCGGCCACCTCGGGCGGGCCTCCCTTGCTGGGGGCTTCCAAAACCGTGTGGTGACGGACCGCGCGGCGACCTCGAGATCCCCAGAGACCTCGCCGCGCGGTCCGTCGCCGCACGGTCTTAGGACCTCGGGGGCCCCCGTCGCCCGGGACGTCCTCGGAGGACACCCCGAGTCCCAAAACCGCACGGCGACCCCGAAGCCCCACTGACTCGCCACGCGGTGCGGTCACCACACCGTTTGGGCGCCCCCGCACTCTTCACGGCGCGAATTAGCAGGCACCGGGCGGAGGAGCCGGCGCTGCGACACCCATTCCCCCCGGCTCTCTCGCGCAGCACCGGCGAGCGGCAAGCATTGCGACGAGCATCACGCACGCGCCGGCACGAACTCTCGACGTCGGTACCAGCGCCCATACCCGCAAAAGCCCCAGCAGAGCACAAAACGCCTGTTCGCAGGCTCGAGAGCGAGGGTTAGGAGGGGGGGCGCTCTGCATCCTGGGCTATCAGGAACAGCTAGAAAACACAAGCCAAAATGCAATGACATTTCAGCGATCACCAGTGCACCGCGCAAGAGTACAATCCAAAGTTCGGCGGCGAGCGAGGGGGGGAAGTGAGAAGGAGAAGGCCTTCTCAGAAGGCGGCGGGACTTCTCAGCAGCCCTCGCGCCTTCTGAAAAGTTTTCTGTGCCGCCGGGGAAGGCGCAGGAAACTGCTTAGAGGGCCGAGGGACTCCCGAGCCGTCTGAGAAGACCCGCCCCGTCTCACCTCCGCCCTGGGCGCGCCGCCGAAAAGTGCACCGATACGAAGTACAGATGCACGGCGCGGCGCGATGCCGGATCGCCACGGCGCCACGGGCACGGGCGCGAACAACGCGGGAACCCCAGCGGACCCCGCGGGGCCTCCCGGATCCAGCCGAGATCAGCGCGCTCCCGGAAACGCCGACCGCGGTATCCCTCTTGTCGATCGGAATGCCCTGGCCGGCGCCCGCAGGTTTGGCCCACCATGGAACCCTGGACCAAGCAACGTTGCCATCTCTTGGGGGGGGCTGGCTCTGCCTCCGCCGCCTTCCGCGGGCCTTCCGCCGAGAAAGGGGTGCCAATTTCTGTCGAATCCTCGGAGGCGGGCCAACTTCTTGAACGCCTCACCTTTGCTTCTGCCCCCAGGCGCAGCAGGCGAGAGGCACGTCGTGCAAAAACCGAAACTCTTGGAACTCCGCGCGGATTTCATGGATCTGCGCTGCGCGCCAGGGACGGGTTCCGGAGGCGCCGCCCGACGGTTCGAGCGCAGATCGATGCGATTCGCGCGGAGCTCCGACAGGTGATGTTTACGCAACGAGGACGACGCCGACGACGCCGACGCCGACGCCGACGCCGACGCCGACGCTGACGACGACGCCGACGACGACGCCGACGACGACGAGCACAGAGAAGATTTATGCAGTTTCTTCTTCGGATGTGGGCTCCTGCCCGAAGCGGCTCGGCGCGCAGGCGAGTCAAGAGGGCACGGCTCGAACCCTTTCCCTGTGAGGCGAGGGCGCCACGTGCTGCAGCAGGCGCCCGGAGGCCTTGGCCTTGCGGCCCCCAGGCGCTCGGGCCAGGGCTCGCCTCTGGCGGCCCCCGGGCCCGAAAGGGGCCTCCAGAGACTGAGAGCGGCCAAAAGCCTGCTCGATCCCAGAACCTCGAGCCTGGTGACCCCCGCGCAGGTGCGTGGCGTGAGGGCCCCAGATCTGCTTCCTGACACCGCAGAGGCCGTTCAACATGGACCGATTCTGCGTCGCCGGCGGCGGTCAACGTCGAATGCCGGCAGCGGGTCAGCCGCAGGTCGACACCGCTACTCCCGAGACCTCTCCCAGGGGACGTTCTGACCAGGACTTCGAGGCGAGTCCAGCGGTGGCGACGAGGGCCTCCCAGGAGGCCCGGAAAAGGGGAAAGCGAGGGGAAGGTGGCGGTATGGGTACCTTTTCCTCCTCCGACTCGTCCCCCCCCTCCTCTGCGTTTTCCTCTTTGCTGTTGCACTGATCGCGACCGCAGGGCACAAGCACGTCATGCCCGTCCAGGGGCAAGAGAAGCCCGACGGAGCAGCAACAAACATCCCCCCAAAAGATGAGCCGCTGCCGCCCCCTGGCAGCGCGCACGGACACAGGCTCGTACCACTCTGAAGCTCGATAGCGGCAGTACTAGGGGAACTTCCAACGATATACCACTACCTGCCCTGGCCAGGCCCATCCTGGGCCCTGGACTGGTGTACAGGCCCTCCTGGCCCAGGCCTGGAGGTCTACATATCAGTCCATGGCCCAGGATGGACCTGGCCAAGAATGGTGGTGGTGCATTGGTGGCGTCCCGCCGGAGTGCTCCAAAGTGGCTGGCCAGGTGAACGTCGCCACCTTCTCCTCTGCGGTGGCCTCTGCTGGCTTCCCCCCATTCCCTCGCCCAGTATGGACAAAGTTTCGCAGGGGGAGGCGGGCAGGACACGAATAGACCACGCGCTCGCGGCGACGTTCGAGGGCGCCTAGCGCGCGGTGACAAGGTGCGGTGACAGACCGTGCGGTGACCTCGAACTCCACAACGACCGCACCGCACGGTCGGGTGCCGCACCGATCGGGGACCCCGGAGGCCCCGCCGCCCGAGCGACGTCCTCGCCGAGCGGCCCGAGTCCCCCAGACCGCGCGGTCCGTCGCCGCACGTCCTCGGGGACCTCGGAGGCCCCCGTGGCCCGAGACGGCCCCGGAGGACAACCCGAGTCCCAAAACCGCGCGGGGACCCCGAAGCCCCACTGGCTTTGGGTCGGGCCGAAAAATTGAAAAATTTTAGAAAATACCAACAATGTTCAAAAGTTGTCAAAAATCGTCCCCAGACAATTTTTTTACTATTTTTGAAGATTCCTCCTGTCTCGCCACTGGGGGTGGTCACCGCAACGTTTGGGGCTCCCTGGCCACAGTGCTGCCCGCTCGTGCAGGGGGGGCCTGCAGCTCTGGAGCTGCGCAGGCCGCGCAGAAGGGGCCCTCCTGGCCTTGCAGCCTCGAGCGCACAGCTCCGGTCTGGAGCACGCCGTCGGCTCCGACGCTGGCACCCGCTCGAGAGGTGTGCGTCGTCGTCCTCCTCGTCCTGCCCTCGTGAGCCACCGAGATGAGGCCAGTCGGCCAGGACCACCGGCGGTTGCCCCTCTGAGGGGGGGCGATACGGGGGGGAACAGCTCGGGGGTGACCTTCGACCCGGAATCGGCGATCCATCGCCGATGGATCGGCGCGAGGGCCCGATGGCGGAACCGCAAGGTCATGGCCGTGGTGGGTCATCGGGCCCCCTATCCGCGGTCGATGGGCGTTTGGGCGTCGATGCGTCCCCCCCGGGCCATTGGGCCTCTGGCGGCCGTTCGGGACGATCTGGGCACCCCCGAGTCGAGGCGCAGCTGCCGGAAGGCACCCCGAGGCTGGAAAGCCGCCGAGAACCGAGGGAGCGTCTGAAGACCTCGAACCTCGAACCGCGCTCGTGCGCGCGCGATGCATGGGCGATTGCGGATCGAGGCGTCCCCCCACCTGAGTACTCTGCCCCTGACGCTGCCCCCGACCCTCCAGAAAGGAAGGCCCAGACCCCCGACGTCGTGATTTAAACATCTGTCGCATCGTCGACCCCCAGCGGTCTGGACCCCTGACCGGGTTTTCATCCCGAATCGTTCTTTGACTGTTCCGGGGCCCGGCAGAGGCCCCCGGAGGCCGAAAATACCCCCCCAAAAAAACTCCCGTCGTGATCTCTTTTCACAGCGCGAGGGGGTCCGGTCGGGGGCGCACAAACATGGATTAGCGGTCCATGGAGGAGGTGGGGGAGGAGGAGGAGGAGGAGGAGGAGGAGGAGGAGGAGGAGGAGGAGGAGAGAGGAGGAGGAGGAGGAGGAGGAGGAGGAGGAGGAGGAGGAGGAGGAGGAGGACGGAGGAGGAGGATGAGGAGGAGGAGGAGGAGGAGGAGGAGGAGGAGGAGGAGGAGGAGGAGGAGGAGGAGGAGGAGGAGGAGGAGGAGGAGGAGGAGGAGGAGGAGGAGGAGGAGGAGGAGGGGAGGAGGAGGAGGAGGAGGGGGGCTGGCGCAGGCTGGGCCCAGCGCGAGGCACTCCCCCAGCGCCGTCCACACGGGGTGCTGCGAGGCTCCTGGGCCGCGCGGGCGCGGGCGCGTCCCTCTGTGAGCCGGGCGCGGTCGGCTCGCGGGAGCGCCGCGCCCCGCGCAGGGGGGACGCCGAGATCCTGTTTGAAGGGGCCCTGGGACACAAAAATAGATGACACAAATAACAGGAGTCCCCATATTTTCCCATATTTTCTGGGTTTTTGTCTTCCCCCCCCACTTCCCATATTTTTTAATATTCTCTGGGGAATCGACAATTCATTGTGTCTGTGTGTGTTTTTCCCTCCTGAGAGATCATGTTGTCGCTTCCTGCTGGTTCCCGCAGCGGGCGATATTTTGCCCTGTCTCGAGCCCCAGGACCCTCACAGATCGATGCGGCTGGAAGAGTGCCGCAGAGAGGTGGAGTCCAGGGCTCCAGCCGAGAGATTTAACAGTGTTGCATGTTGCTCGTGACATCGGATCTCAGAGCGGCCTCCCTTGAGATCGCTTGGGCGACGAGACGGGGTCTGGCGCGCGATGGCAGGGCGGCCTCGCGCGGAGGCTCGCGCAGGCCGCCAAACGTCGAGAAGGAACTATTACATTGAACTGGCAGCTCGAAGCTATCAGTTAGTAGTTATAGCTTTTATTCAGGAGTCGTGGTGTTGGTTGCGATACAAAAAAGCGTGGCATAACAAAGAAGAGGACAGAGAGAA